TCCTTCTGAATTGTTTTCTTTTCCTGTAATTGCTTTTGTTTGTTTGTTTGTTTGTTTGTTTGCTTGCTTGCTTGAGTCAGAGTCTCATTCTATCACCCAGGCTGGAGTGCAGTGGCACGCTCACAGCCACCACAGCCTCAACCTGCTGGGCTCAGGCGATTCTTCCACCTCAGCCTTCCAAGTAACTGAAACTACAGGTGTCCACCACCACACCGGGCTAACTTTCTTATTTATTGTAGAGACAAGGTCTTGCCAAGTTGTCCAGGCTGGTCTCAAATCCCCGAGCTCAGGAAGTTCTCTCACCTCAACCATCCAAAGTGCTGGGAGTACAAGTGTGAGCCATCTCATCCAGCTCCTTTGCTTTTAAAAATGGCAGAAGTTTTCAACAGGGCTCCCGCCCAATCAGTCTTACCACCCACTGGGGTCTAGCTTGGACTCTGACAACTGGAACAGGAGAACCTTGACTGCAGTGCTCACCGGAGTCTTGGTGCTGCCACTTCTCGCGAGCCTCAGCAAGGAGGAGAATGGACACGTGTGCACAGCAGGCTGAGACTGGCGGACTCGACTTCGCACAGCCTGTGTCCCCACTTTCTGTTCAGGACCACTCAATGCTGATGTGTGGATGCACACCAAAATAAAACAATCCATTGTGCAAGGAAAAAAAGAAAAGAAACCATGAAACACACACAGTGAAAGAGGCTATGAGAGAAATGCAGCAAAAGGGAGACAGGCATGATAGGGGCTGCTGTTTCATAGGAAGGGTCTAAGTGCCTGAGCAGACACCTGAATACGGTGAAGGAACAGTCGTGCACCCAGTCAGCTGGGCAGAGGGTATCCCAGGCAAAGGAAACCACAGGTGCAAAGGCCCTAAGTCAGGAGAGTGGGGAATAATTGAGAATCAGCAAGGACCAGTGTGTTCAATGCAGTAATTGAGAATCAGCAAGGACCAGTGTGGTCAATGCAGTAATGAGTGAGGTCTGTCATGACTGGGAGACAGGTCGCACAGCCGCTGAATACAGCCAGTTTTTACTCTGGGGAAGGGGGGATGGGGGTAAGCCATGGAAGGCTTTGAGCGAAGGTGAGACATGAGCTGACTTTTAAAAGGATCCATCTGGCTGCTGGTAAATAGACTGTAGGGTCAAAGGGGATGAGGTGAGCCCCACCCACTTTCCTTGCTTCCCGGCTCAAACTAACTAAAAATTTATTATTTTTTTAAAAATTGTTTTAGGAGAGAGGGTCTCACTCTGTTGCCTAGGCTGGATTGCACTGATGCAGTCATAGTTCACTGTAGCCTCCAACTCCTGCTCAGCCTCCTGCTTAGTGGATAGATTAATGGATGATGATGGATGGATGGATGGATGGATGGATGGATGGATGGATGGATGGATGGATGGCTGATTGATGTAGATGGATGGGCAATGGGGGATGGATAGGTAGATGAATGGATAGATGGAGGGCTAGATGGGTGAATGATGGATGATGGATGAATGGTGAATAGATGAATGGGTGATGGATGGATGGGTTGATGGATGAATGGATGGGGAGCTGGTTGGATGGGTCAGTGGCAAACGACAATCAAAACCTTTTCTCCAGAAAACTTCTTCCTGGCTCATCTAATTTCTCATCCATCTTCTTTAATTTCTTCTTCTGAGTTGGGGTCTACCCTGTCACACATACTAGAGTACAGTGGCATGATCACAGCTCATGCAACCTTGACCTCCTGGGCTCAGGTGATCCTTCTATCTCAACTACCCAAGCAGCTGAGCCTACAGGCATGAGCCACCATGTCTGGCTAATTTTTTTATTTTTTGTAGAGACAAAATTTCACGATCTTGCCCAGGCTAGTCTCAAAGTCCTGAGCTCAAGCATTCCTCCCGCCTCACCCCCCAAAGTGCTGGGATTACAGGTGTACACCACCATGCCTAACCCACCTTCTTTAAATGCTTGAGGATCAAATCTGCAACACTCAAAGTAAAAAAAAAAATGCAGATACAGAACAATCTTGGATAGGTAGATGGATAGGTGGATGGTTGACCCTTCAAAGTCAACCAGGAAAACCACAGGCAGCAGTGAGCCTGAGCCCCGGGGCCCACACCTCCAACAAAACTCTTCATGGCTGCAGCTCTCCACTCCCAGTCTTCTCTTTGTGGAATGAAGAGATGACTGTTCAGAATGTTCAATGTGGTAAGAAAACAGGAGCTGGTGCTAACATGGCCTCTTCCCTTCAGTCTATTTCTTTCCCTTGTCCCCGGGTTAGCTCACTAGGACCATATCCTGAGGGCCCTCAAAGGAGACACAGCTTTCTCAATTATATCCCCAGGTAGCAATATCACCCAACTCTGAACATCCACCCAAGACGTGTGTGTAACCATGCCTAATTCTGAGGTCCTCTGGTCTTAGAACCCAAAGCTGGGGCCCCAACAGTGAGCTCAATCAATCAACATCTCATGGTGGGACAACATTAAATAAACCCTTCCTTGCTATATCCTTCTTGTTTCACTAGCAACAAGGGAGGGAGACTTCAGAAGTGTTGGCAAGAATTTTCTGGAATGGAGAAGGGTGGATCCAGAGCAAAGGGTCTTGGGGAAGGGGTGAGATCTATGCAAATGTAGTAATTGCTTAGGACCCAACTGATGCCTGCGCCCAACTGATATGGGGCCACAACCAGGACTGGGGACCAAGGGCTTGGCGAGAGAAGTCAAGACAGGCGAACCAAACAAACCGAGTTAAGGATTTGCCAGCCCACGGCTGGGGCCTTCAGATGTGAGGCGTGATTTCAGCATACTTAGTGGGGAAACATTTAGAAGAAAAGGGGAAGCATGGGGCCTCCAGCAGGGCAGATAATGCCATCTGGGTCTCCCCAGCTCCCCTGAACACAAAGAGCTGGCCAGATCCCCAAGGATCTGAAAGAAGCGTGGTACCGTGAGCTCAGCCGTGCACTCCGCCAGATAATCCCCTTCAACCAGCCAGTTTCAAACATGCATATTAAGGCCAGTATCCACTCCCCTAGAAATAGAAGCCCCATGAGTGTTTTCTTCCCTTTTGTGTAAAATAAGAGTCCTGTAACACACTTATACTGTCATTTGCCTGCAAATACAAACATTTATTCTCAGACGCATAGACGCACACACGTACAATGCTGGGTTGAACCGAGGGACCCTGAGAAACTTGGCAGTGCCGCTCAGGCCCGCTGCTCCCTTGCTTCTCCTGGAGGGTTCTGAGAAACCCCTTCACCTGCCCCCTCACCTCCCGGTGTGGCCATCACAACCTGCAGCCTGCAGGTTGAGAGGCTCCACCTGGAGAGGCTCCACCCCTGCTTCCAACCCTTAACTCCTTCCTCCTCCCCCCTGCAGGAAGAGCCCAGTCAGAATTTTCCTAGGGGAAGGGTGCAGAGACTTCCTGTTCTGACACATGGGGCTCAGTGAGCCCCAGACAATGGGGAGATTAGGGGCAGGCTTGTGAAGGACAGAGCCAGGGGCCAGGCTGCTCCTGGCAAAAGGCCCCTACCCGGAGAGCACAAGCCCAAGATTAACCCTTGCCATTCTGTCCCTGTTTTCCCAGAGGCAGGGCACCCCTGAGCCTACCTTGGATCAGCACGAGGGACTCATGGGCGGGGACGGGCCTCGGACAAAATGTGCGCCCGTCTGTCCACACACGGTAAGGTCCCCACGAGCACAGTGCTGGCGAAAGCGGAGTCTGAATACAAGCCCCAGCCGTCAAGCAGGGAGGCTTCACTGGGTGGCCGATGGAAAGGGTGTATTTTGCATCTGCAGCAGAATGGATTTAGGGCAGACTGCAGATGGGAAGCTGCGCGGTCTTTCTCTGGAAAGGGGGAAATGGTGTCACTCCAGATATCTTGGATTTGGTCCAGGATGGAAATAGGGTGTCCCCCAAAGGCTCTCCCCAGACCGCCACCTCTGGCTGTCTCTTCCCAGCTTCTGCAGTCAGGCAGCTTCCCCTCTGCTGCCCCAGAAGACCTGTGTCACCTCTGCCATTCTCCCACAGACACCACCACAGACATAACCCAGGCACCCCGAGAGGTGGGATGTAGGGAGTGAGGATGCACGAAACTTCAGAGAACAACAGGCCCGGCTCCTCCCATCAACCGACGTGACCTTGTTTGTTTTTGGAACAGATTCCTAAAGATTTGTTGGTCCAGTAAGATTTCGTCCCATGCATGGAATCTCATGGAAATAGGGAAGCTTGCTGGATGCTGAGTCTAAGCCCTCTCCTACCCTGGGTAACCTCTGGCTCTGTATTCAGTGGAGTCCCTGGCCCGCCTCTCCTCACACCTGTCACACACCCCCTCCCTGCAGACTGACTCCTTCCCTCCGGCTCACTCCAGGCTCAGCCCTGAGATGCGCTGCCCGGGCCACCTGCAGTGAGCGACATGTGTGTGCTTGCTGGTTGCCGCTCCTGCCCCGCAGACAGCCTGAGGCCCCTGTCCCCAACTCTACTCCCTCCACCTGAGCCATGTAGAACACAGAGCAGAGAAATGAGAAATTAGTGAACGACCTTGATCTGTAGAGACAGGTCTTTCAGAGCCCCGGCATCCACTTCCACCAAAGTGATCTGGCTGTACCAGATTCTAGAGACCTCCTCCCAGAAAACAAAGACAGAGGCTCAGGATGAATGACAGAAGCGTTTTATTGAAGATTCGCCTGCAGGTGGGTAGGAAGGAATGAGAAGAGGCGGATGGGGCGCCGAATGGTTCTAGGGCTGCCAGGTGGTGGAAGGTTTGGTTCTGATGGAGACGGATAACCCGGGATCCAGTGGGAGGCGATGCTGAACTGGGAGGGGACATGCTGCCCCTGATAATTCTCCTGGTCATTTTCTCTTTTGTCCATGGGAGGTGAGAGGTCAGCTGCCACGGCTCCCATTCCAGAAGCATCACCAGGCCCAAATCGAGAAGAAGCAACCAAACTCCAAGAGTCCCCATCCCAGGACAGAAGATCACCTTGGGGCAGAGAGAGCCCAGGGGAGAGTGGAGGTGACACGGATAAGACGAGCCCCAGAAAGGGGGGTGGAGGTAAGGAAGGAAACGCAGAGACACCAGGATGGGCTCAGAGGCTGCAGGGACCTCGTCTCCTCTATCGGTGAGACCTCTTGCTCAGGGTGGTGGTGGAGATGATCTTGCCGCCGGAACCGCCAGAGACACCGCCTCCAAACCCAAAGCCACTTCCGGAACCGGAGCCCAAGCCACCACCCAGGCCAAACCCAGAGCCGCCGCCGAATCCTCCGCCGATGCTTCCAGCGCTGGCACTGCCGCTGACCACAGCTGCAGGAGAGAGGCCAAGGGCACAGTCATTCCAACAGGGCCGGCCACCAGGGGTCCCAGCCCAGACCAGGATGGGTGAACAGCCAGGGCTGGGGCAGAAGTTACTTACAGATGCTCACAGCACTCTGGCACTCCCCGGACATCCTGTGAGGGAGAGAAAGGACTGTGAACAGAGAGCCCCAGAGCCATTCTTCATTGAGGGAGCAGGCCTCCAGCCTCCCTCCCCCATGAGCAGCCTCAGATATTGAGGGCCACATGGGAGCTGTCACCTCCACTGTCTTGGTTCCTGACACACTAGGAGGAACACTGACCCCTGCAGCCCAGCAGGGGCACACACTGGCAATCAAGACCTCTCTTCCTGCCCCCCATGCTCCCGCCCTGCCCTGCCAGCCCACCTGCACTCCTCGCCCTCCAGCAGCTTGCGGTAGGTGGCGATCTCAATGTCCAGGGCCAGCTTGACGCTCATGAGCTCCTGGTATTCACGCAGCATCCGTGCCAGCTCCTCCTTGGCCTGCTGCAGGGCGGTCTCCAGCTCCGTGCGCTTGCTGTGGGCATCTTTGAGTGCGTTCTCACCACGCTGCTCGGCGTCTGCCACAGACGTCTGCAGGGTCTGGCACTGTGGACAAGGGCATTGGAAAAGGCGGTCACAGGGCCCCCGCTTTCGAGCTCTCTACCCCTATACCCCTTCCTGGGCCAGATGTCAGGATTCCGTCTGTCCTTCCCCAACCCCTTGCCCTCACTCATGTGTTTCATTCACTCCAGCCAGGGTCCGGCGATGCCCCTGCCAGACTGATTAGATAAAAATGGGTGAAAAACCAGTGAAGAAAGGCCAAGAAATCGCCATACGGGGCTATCATGGCCTGCTGACTAGGGCACTGCTCAAAAGACCTGGGTTTGGTTCATGCAAAGAGCTGTGAGCGCCCTGCAGACACGCTCAAGGGCATCCAGCCCGATGCGTCACCTGCCCATCCACTCTGGGGCTCTCTGCCCAAGGCCCTGGCCCTGTGCTCCCCCCAGAAGGGGCGGCACCCACCTGCTTCTTGACGTTCTCAATCTCCGCCCGCAGCCTCTGGATCATCCTGTTGAGTTCTGCGATTTCACTCTTGGTGTTCTTCAGGTTGTCCCCATGTTGGTCAACTGAAAGCTGCAGCTGCTGGACCTAACATCCAAGGAGACACAGGGCACCAGGTGTTGGGGGTATCTGGGTGGGACCCATCGGGGAGAATAGCCACAGGCAGCAGGAAGAACTCAAAATGTCAAGTCATCCCAAGTCAACGATGCCCAGGAGAATCCGTCCATCTCCGACCTCTCTTGGGCTGGAGCCAATGATCACCTATTCAGACATCAAAAGCAGAGCCCAGAGCCATCTCCTGAGAGAGCCGTGCCACCCACCTTGGTCTGGTACAGAGCCTCGGCCTCAGCCTTGCTCTTCAGGGCGATCTCTTCATACTGGGCGCGGACCTCGGCAATGATGTTGTCCAGGTCCAGGTTCCTGTTGTTGTCCATGGAGAGGACCACGGATGTGTCGCTGACCTGGGTCTGCATCTGGGACAGCTCCTGCAGGGAACGTCTTACATCAGCCCCCCAAGAGAATCTTTGCCGACCCCTGACACCAGAAATCTACTGTTGTCATGGAAATGGCCATGGTGCAGGTTCAGATGGAAGCAGAGCTGGCATTCCCAACACGTAGAAAGGGAAGAGAGTGGTAAATTTCTCAGCAGAAATCAAGGGGCTGGTGACATCTCAGGACAGAAAAGCAGTGCCTCCCATCTTTACTGGTCCCCGGGAGCCATAAGCCACTTGATGTCTTTTGTGGTGGGCGCCATGTTGGATGGAAGGGAATGGAATGGGTCCATTTCACTGGAAAAATGCTAGACAGCAATGAATCTTCACATTGGATCCCTTCTTCTATGACAACATCTGGTTTTAAGACCCTCCCCGTTGAATTTCTCCCTCCAAATCTTTCTACCCAGGACTTTGCTGAGAACCTGCTGCCTTTCAGAGTACTGTGACTCCCTGTTTAGGGATGCCCTTTCCCTGAAGGGAGGAGAGGGGGGAGCCCTCACCGCTTCGTAGAGGACCCTCAGGAAGCTGATCTCATCATTAAGATTGTCCACCCTGGCCTCCAACTCCACCTTGTTCATGTAGGCAGCGTCCACGTCCTGCAGGGAGAAAGGAGAATGAGAGGTAAGGAGCAGAAATTCCAATGGGGGCGGGGGTCTTAAGTGACACATGCAGGGGCTCTCAGCAGCATTTAGGAAGGACTCCATAGCACCAGGTGAGGTGGTGAGAGTCCATGCTCCCCTAAAGCCACCCAAGGGTACAGAAGCTAGTTATCTAGATAGGCTTCCTTTCCGACCTTGGATCCTTGGGCCCTAGTTCAGTTACCCGCTTTCTGGGACTGTCTAGAGCTGGACAGCACCAGATGGGGAAAAGATGCGGCCAAGGTGGACCAAACCCATGACCCGAGCCAAAGGCCACTGCAAGGGAAGAGGCCTCCGAAGGCACCCCTCCATCATCCCCTCTTACCTTCTTGAGCACCACAAAGTCATTCTCAGCCGCCGTGCGCTTATTGATTTCATCTTCATACCTGGTGACGGGGACGGGGAAGAAAAGGCAAAGGCCTCCATGAGCTTGCACTGTCCAGCCTCTGCTGCTCGTTTTCAAGCATATTTGGGAATAAACATGTCATAAGCTACACTTTTTGTGTCCACACAGGTAGGCATTCAACCTGCATTTACTGGGCTTAGATGAGATTCCAGTCTAAGCCCTGGTTTATTCAGAGACATGAATACCAGACTGGAAAAAGATGGTTCGCATCGAAGCTGGACTGGATTTTAAAAAATGTGGTCCATATACACAATGGAATATTATGCAGCCATAAAGAAGGACAAACATATGGACTTCGCAGCAACTATGATGGATTTAGAGTCGATCCTACTCTGTGATCTATCACAGAAACAAAGAACAGAGTACCCTATGTTCTCAATCATCAGTAGACCTTGAACAATTATCAAAATACTATAAGAAAGGAATTGGCAGTTGAGGGAAACTGCCAGGGGAGGGAGAGACACATCTCATCAACAAGGGTACCTGCATAATGAACACTTGTATACCTAACCCTGAATTGTACCCCCATCTTTAAAATAAAGAAAAAAGAAAAAGATGGTTCATAGGAGACATTATGTGAAGAGAAGGCCCAGCAAGGATCCTACTGATTCTATGTCCATGGGAGGGCTGTCCTTTTGGCCATTTTAGAAGGCTAAATTCTCAGGAACATCACCAGCACTCTGGTTCCCTTTGTTGGTGTGTGAGTTGAGAGAGGGGGGTTGGTATTTATTTTGTCAGTCCGATCCCACAGTGAGCACAATAAGAGCTACTGTGTATCAGTTGTTCCCTATGTGTCCTGCACTATGGCACGCACTTTCTCTGTCTCATTTAATTTCATTTCATTCTCATAGCCCATGAGGTAGGAATATTATCCCCACCTTAAAGATGAAGAAAACTGAAGCTCAGAAAGGTTAAGCATCTCACCCAAGGCCATACAACTAGTAAGTGAGGCATCAGTATTCAAGCAGGAAGGCCAGCCAAGGCCAACACCAACCTTGTCCATCCAAGGCAACCAGGTGGCCCAAGAACCTCCCAAGTAGAGCCGCCATATTGCAACGTGAGGGCAACATCCACTAGGGGTCAATATGATGGCCCACCCCTGAGCCCAGCTCCCTTTGCCTCTATAACCTGTATTCCTCTGACCATGCCATACTACTTTTCACCTGTTTAGTTTCTGATTTTGTTTGAATATGGCAAACCCAGATCCCTGAATCTATCACTAATTTTCTGTTTGGGGCAACTTATGGTTATCAGACTTCACCCAATAAAAACCTGACTATGTGGATGTAGAAAAATAGGCCAGAGGACCCTCCTGACCACCTTGGGATCTCTTCAGAGCCTAAGATTCTAAACCGCTGGAGAGGAGCCCAGGGAGCCTGGCGCATGGTCAGACAGATGTGTCATGGCGTCCCCTCCTTCCTCGCCACATACTTGGTCTTGAAGTCGTCCACGCTGTCCTGCATGGCCTTCAGCTCAGACTGCAGGCGCCCTTTGTCATTGATCAAGGTGTCCAGCTGCTTCCTCAGGGTACTGAGGTAGGCCTCAAAGAGAGGCTCAAGGTTCTTGCTGGACGTGGTGGTCGTCTGCCGCTGAAGGAGTTTCCATTTGGTCTCCAGGACCTTATTCTGCTGCTCCAGGAAACGCACCTGTGTTGGAAAAGGCACCGGCCAGCTGATGAGGGCCTGGAGCTCTGGCAGGAGGGCCAGCTTAGGCCAACACCAACCCGGTGCATCCAAGAGCCTCCCAAGTAGAACTGCCATGTTGCAACGCCAGAGCAGCATCCTCTAGGGTCAATGTGATGGCCCACCCCTGAGCCCAAAGCAGCAAATGGGCCAGTACAAGAAGAGCAATCTCCCAACCACAGCAGGCCAGAGGCCCTGGGAAGAGCCAGTAGAGAAGGATATCGAGCTTCTAGGAAGTAACAAAATAAGACAGAATTGGGAGCGTCCACAGTTTGGAGGATCTTGCATTCCAAGGGGTCCTGAACCAATGCAAAGGAAAGATAAATTCACTAAAGACTTTTAAAATAAGCTTCCTCATCAATGGACCTGGAGTGAAACTGTGCACGACTGAGTATAGCTATTGAAGGCCAAGGTCCTACGTCTATTCTGAGTCTCAGTTAGACTCCATTCTGCAAGGGACTCCCTTGAACTTCCCCTCCCTCTGTGTAAAGATCTAGCCAGATAGACCATTTGAGCAGCTTGATGTGGCAATAAAGTCTACAATAAAGCCTCTTTAAGCTACTACAGGCTTATTCAAACTAGCAAGAAGAGCAAATATTCCCGTTGATCTACTGCAAGACGCTTTATTCTTGCCCCATGTGTCTAAGAGGCCTAAGACTCTGGGGCCTGGTGAACTGGCAACCTGGACCACAGGGCTCACCCGCCCAATTGTCAACTGCTGATGACTCACTGCCTGCTTTCATCCATCTAAGCTGCTGTCATCGAGCCTAAAAGACTTGAACCTGCAGACCCTGCATGAACAAGGAAGTTGAGCTAAAAGAACAAAAGAGAGAGCCACCTCTCTTCAAGCACACCCAGAAATGAGCAGCTTTGCCCAGAGTCAGGAAAATGAGAACAGTCACCTCCCAACGTCCTGGTGAGATTTAGAATCTGCCCCAGGAGTCAGTCCTTTTTTCATTCACAAAATCAGCTCAGTTTTCTTCCGCTCCAAGAGCAGAAGTGGCCAGTGTGACACGATTCATAGAGTTAGCTGCCTCATTTCCAAAACCAAAATCAGAGAAAAAGTAGGGAATTCATGAGCCCGCTTTATAGCCAGGGTGACTAGAGCCAGAAGAGCCAAAGGATTTTCCCAGTGTCACACAGCATGTCCAGGGAACTCCCAACATTTAACTGCCTGGAGCTTCCCACCTGCCCACCAGCTACAGGACAGAAGAGAAAGATTCGGTGTCCCTTCAACAGCTGAAAAATCGGAACCCAGAGAAGTTCCTTGGTCTTCCCATGCCTGGCAGGCTCAGGCCCAAGATCCCGGGACCCAGGAACCCTGACTTCTCCCAGCCCTCTCTGGCCAAAGACTCAGCTCACCTTGTCGATGAAAGAGGCAAACTTGTTGTTGAGGGTCTTGATCTGCTCACGCTCCTCGGTCCGCACTTTCTGGATCTCGGGATCGATCTCCACGTGGAGTGGGGTCAGCAGGCTCTGGTTGATGGTGACCTCCTGGATCCCCCCAGCGGGGCAGACAGGGAAGCCAGGACCACCACGACCACCGAAGGAGCCCCCGAAGCCGCTGCCAAAGCCGCCGCCGTAGCCGCCAGCACCAAAACCAGCTCCAAAACCAGCTCCAAAGCTTCCGGCGCCAATGCCGACGCCTCCGGCCCCCCCGAAGCAGGCACCCTGTCGGGTCCCGGCCACGCTCATGGAGATGCACTTGCTACCCCCGAGGTTGTAGAGGCTCCTGCTGCCAAAGCCCCCGGAAGAGCTGCGGCCTGCACAGCCAGACACGGACATGGAGCTAAAGGCCCCACCTCTCTTGCCTCCCCCGACGACAGCCGAGCCACTGCTGAAGCCCCGGGACCCGCCTCGGACGTACTGTCTACCGATCATGGCTGCGGAGAGGAGAGAGCGCTCGGAGCTGTCAGAGCGAGAGGGCCCAGGCTGGTGAATGCCGGAGCCCTCAGCCTGGGTCTCTTATATGCTGAAGTGACAGGGCTTGGTTGCAGGGGCATAAAGGGAAAAATCTGAAACATCTCTGGGCTTGGCCCTTGGCACAGGCCCATCTTGCTAGCACCTGCTGAGCATGTCACTAATCACACACCTACAGGAGTCATGCAGAGGGCACAGCCTCTGGGATCCCATCACACTCCCCTCCGGGAGAACCTTACCCGATATCTCCAAGCCTCCCAAAGCAAAGGCCCCTGCCCGGACCCCACCCGCTGGGCCCCCACCCACTGCATCCATCTCACCAGCCCCACGGCAGCTCCCTGCTCCACACGAGATACCCCATCGCCTGTTTGCTCACGCTGCAGAATCTGGAAGTAGAGGGTCTGAGTTCAAGGGCACAGCCTGACACCTGCCAACTCCGCACACCCAAGCAGGTCACCCTCCCAGGCTCGGCTGCTTCGCCCTTAGACTGGAACTAACACACGTTCCCTCACTGCTCAGGATAGAGCTGGCTGACACGCTGTGCACGAGCAGAAGCCATGGCATGCATCTGTTGTCACGGTCATCCTTGCCCCTCCACATGCACTTGGCCCAAGTGCCCGGAAAAGGGGCAATGTTCTGTATTCCAGCCTCACAGCCTCCAAACCTGGGTCCGTGCTCTCCTCCCTTTGACTGGCTGTGTCTGAGAAGCTGCCCGGCATGGGGCTGGGTACTGAATAGACAGAGGTGAGTGCCCAGGGCCCGTACTGCCTCCCAAGGCCTGGGTCCAGCCACACTTGTGTGACTCCAGATTGGTCTCCTTGGCGGAGTCCTGGCAGGTGTTTGGCTGCTGTGTTTGCTGCCAATCATTCACCTGGCACGTTCTGTGTTTCTATAACGGTCTCAGCATTCAGGGCAGGAGTTCCTAACTTTTGGGGTGCCGGAGACCCCTTCAGCAGACTGGCGAAACCTATGGACCCCTCTTCACAGCAATGTGTTTTGTTTTGTCTTCCTTTTAGAGGCAGGGTCTCACTCTGTTGCCCAGACTGGAGTGCGGTGACATAATCATAGCTGACTGCAACCGCAACCTCCTGGCCTCAAGTAATCTTCCCACTTCAGCCCCTTAAGTAGCTGGGACTACAGGTAGGCACCACCGTACCCAGTTAATTCTTTTAAAATCTTTATAGAGATGGGGCCTCACTATCTTGCCCAGGCTGGTCTCAAACTCCTAGCCTCAAGTGATCCCCTTGATTCAGCCTCCCAAAATTCTGGTATTACAGGCATGAGCCACTATACCCAGCCAGAGCAATGTTTTTTACGCAAAATCCTAGTTTTAAGACCTTGCTTAAATTCTTCCCCGCTGAGTGCAACAGATCTGTGTTCAAATCCCTGTTGCCACAAACTAGCTGTGCAGCCTTGGACAAGTCTCCTAACTTCTCTGAACCCACTCAACCCATCTTCTCACCTAGAAGATGGGACACTTGTCTAGCAGGCCAAAAAACATTGACCTATGGTGCCGGGCCCATGGGAAGCCGGTAGGCATTCATTCTCTTCCTGCCCAGGCTTAGCCATTGCCACTCATGAGGAGATATTAGACAAATTAGTGTTCCCTCAGCCCCTTGTGGAACCTGAGGACCTCAAACCTGAGGAAGAGCAGTCATCACCAGTGCTGGGTGATTCCTACAGACCCAAGCTGCCCTTAGCCATGTGCAGAACAGCCACGGCCACTTCAGTGAGCGGCCCCTCCATGCAGAGAGAGAGGAAGAGGCCCGTGTGGGGAGGAGACAGTGGGCAGCAGACCCGGGCCTAAGGACAGGGCCACAGGGAAGGCCATCACCTTTCCCCCACCACCACTGTCCCCTACCTGTAATCTGTCTCTGCCCAGGTGGCCACTAAGTAGGTGGAGTGGGGGAGGGCTGTGGGGTCCCTGAGAGGACAAGGGCCCCAGGCCCCATTCAATGTCCACGGGAGGATGCCGGAGTGATAATCAGTCCGCCCGTAGTCGGTGAGCATTCTGGAGTCAGGACCATCCCTTGGAAGGGACGGGGCTGGACTCTACGCGTTCTTCAACCCGAATTCACAGGGCGCCGACTCTGTGCCAGGCCTGGTGCTGGACGTTACAAACACTCGATCAACAAATCTTCCTGAAGGCTCTATGCCGTCAGCATCTTTAGTCCCACTTATAGATGACAGCTTGGAAGCTCAGGGAGGTACAGTCACTCCCTGGGTCACACAGCAGGGCATGGTGGAGCCAGGACCTAACCCCATGCCAGTCTGCTCCCAAAGGCTCTACACTCCCTACCCTCCCACCTGCACCGCTCTGCCTGATGTGGAGTCAACCTGTCTAATTCGTGTCACAGACAATCCAGAATCGGTCACTGTTCAGGTCAAAGGGACCCCAGGGGCCTGGCATCCCAGGGTCCATCAATTTCCATGCTGGCCCCTAAGAGTGGACGTGACTGGGAGGTAGGTGGGAATTACTGCCATTCTTGGGGGTTGCAGTTGGGGGAGCAGAGGAGACCTGTGAGCTGCCCCTCTGGGGGGGGTTGACCTTAGCACCTCTGAGAGGAGGTGGCGGAGTCATCAGGGTCCCCCCCCAGAGTGGGACTTGGAGCTCAGTTCCTCCAGGGACCTCACCTCCATTTCTGCACCTCCCACTCACCACTCCCATCTCTGGGTGCCCCTGAAGGTTGGATCCAGGGCAGAGAGTTTGCCTCAGCGGAAGTGAAGCCCACGATGGCTCATAATGTGTCCTCTGAGTCTTTTATTCTGTGGCGGTAATGCTCCAACACCAGGAGAAAAGGACGTGGCACATTGTTCCTAGAAGCGTGTCCAGCGTCTAAAAGCCCAGGTGGAGGAGGTTTCCAGGGAAATGATACGTCATATGAAGTCCATTTGATTTGGTGCCTTTGGGCACCCAAGCCATGGCGCCATGGTCAGGCACTTTGCATGTTGGAGACTTGAACCCTATGCTGTCCCTGTGACAAAATGTCACGCAGAGGACATGCTGCAGTGCCTGTCAGGTAGACGGGACACTCGCTTAGCACTACCATAATGTGCTGAATACTGGGTGCTTTTCTTATCACAATTCTGTTTCTCACAAAAGCCCCACCAAAGAACTGTTGCTAGGCACGGTTTGGAGCTGCAAACACTGAGGCTCAGAAAGGTTAAGTAACTCGCCTGAGATCACACAGCTAGAATATGGTGCAGGTGGGAAGCCGGTCCCTGACCTTAACCTCTGCAGGATGATGTTTTATATGGGTGACTGCCCACAGAATCTGCAGGGGAAAAAAAATACACAGCAACTTATACAGCCCACCAGAACAGCAATGGGTCCTTGACCAACGTGCTGCGTGTTCTATAGACACGGCTCAGCTCCCTTCTGTCCTTACTCTTGTCACGTGATGGGTTGCTTGGTTTATGTGGCCCTGTCCTTACAAGTACCCAATAAGCTATGACACTGTCCTGAGGGGCCAGTTCTGTGTCCTCCCATTAACTAAGTCCCATTTAATTTAATTGCAAATCCTGTGGTAAACCCAAGCCAAACAGGAAGCACGGTCTAGTCCAGGTCCCTAACCAGTATCCTTATTATTAAATCAAAATTGCCAGAAGCTCACAAAATCCTCAGAGTGTAGCATGAACATCCAAAGGCAGACATGAGGAAGGACTTTCTTAGACAAGAGCACTTTTACACCCTAGAGTGAGAGGCGCAGCCAGAGGAGTTTCTTTCCCTGGAAAGGGGTGAGATGTCTCCTTTCTACCCGCGCCAGAGTCCAGCGATGGAACAAAGTGCCTCCAGCAAGCAGCACGGTTCACAGCTGGCTCCTACCCCACCCCACACACAGTTTTTGCCCTTGCCTTCTGTGACCCTTCCTGGGTTGGCAGCCGTTCCCTCTCTTGTCACAGAGGGATGAGCCGCTGACAGGGGTGAGGCCCGGGCAGGAGGGTGTGTTTGCTCGGGGCTTTCTGGGTGGGGGAGGCAAGCCCTTGCATTCAGCCCTGGGATTAAGGGATCCCGAGGGCTTCTGTCACTCTCAGCCCCAAGCCTGCCTCATGGTGTGGGAAAGTACTCCAGCCCTCCCCCGCCAGGTGGGTGCTCTCGCCCCCGCTGGGTCACAGGACCACCAGCCTGAATCACTTTTGGGGAGCCAAGGCCAAAGTGGACTGCAGAGATTCTGCAGAAAGGGGCCGTGAGCACTGCTGGAAGAGACCAAGGAGGGCAGGAAGAGGAAGGGGCCCCCCCAGAAGTAGGCGTGGGGGCCGGTGCCCCAGGGTGGGCTCCGCTCCCCCAGGGCCCCAGAGCAGGCCCTCCTGGTCTCCCAACCTGTGCGTGTGCAAAAGGGGCTTCCCAGCGTGTTCTGGTGACAAAGCCATCCTTGCCAGTAAAGCCACACGCACAACCCCAAGTGTGGAACAGACGAGAGACCCTCCCACTGGAGAAGCGGAGGGAACTGTGAGCCTCCCCACCTCCTGGCCTCCCCTCTGGCGCCTGGGAGCAGACCTCGGGATCCTCGGGCTCTGGGAACTCCGTGTAGAAACTACTCCCATCCATCAACACAATATTGTTAGTGGGTCCTCCCAGCCGTGACATAATTTTGAATTGTCTTCCAGAACAATGAAAACTGTCTCTATTATTCAGTTTTTAAGCTCTAAATAGAATTTCGATAAAACTTGTTTTTTCCACATCTGCCATTAGTTTATTGTGGCTTTTGGACAATTCTCCAAAAGGGGAAAAACTTTTTCCTATCTCTAAGATGAAAAGTGTGGACTAACCCGTGCCCAACACCCCTTCAAGCCCCAGTGTTCCCCACCTCTCTATTCCTTTTCTGAATAAGTAGTATAACCCAGTGGCTAAGAGCTTAGAATCAGGTTGCCTGGATTTCATACCCAGTTCTGCTGCTTAGTAGCTGTGTGACCTTAGACAACTTACTTAACCATTCTGTGCCTTGTTTTCCTCATGGGCAGAATGAGGATGATCACAGTACTTACATCACAGGCTGTTGTGAAGATTGACTCAGTTAAAGGCTTGATGGCCATGTTGGTACACCGCAGGCACTCAGAGGACATTCACCATTAATCCTAGGGGGTCTAGGAGGGTCATGCGTCAGGTGGGCTAGCTGCCTCCCCTGAGAATAAGACACTGCCCAGGTGGGTGAGTGGAGCTGATTCTCACTGCTAGGCCCTCGTGTTTCTCAGTTGTGGGCTAGGGTTTGGCCCAAAATCCCCTGGGGCCCTGGTGGGCTCCCAGGTCACGGGGACCCAGACTGGAAGAATGCAGGGCTCAGTCCAGCAGCAGCCAGGATCCCCGCAGGCAGGAGGGAGGGGGCGGTGTACTGACATCCTCAGACCCGGCAGACTGGCTCAGTAGCGGGGTTCAGGGTTTTAGAGGGTCTGGGAGGCTCAGGACCAAGAGGTCAGCCGGTGGGGAGTCGTGGGAAGGGGTCCTGGCTCGGGGTAGAGAGCCATGGAGGTGACGAGGAAACAAGGTGATTCTGAGAGACCCATGAAGGGAAGAGTCATGAGACGTGGTGAGAGGCAGAAGCGGGGGGCAGGGTGGAGGTGGCTTCTGTGGGAACAGCACAGAGGGCTTGACGCCACAGCCCTGGGCACTCCTGACCCGCCACCAGCCTGCTGGACAGCCGGGGTGTGAGGGGCCACTTCTGTGAGCCTGAATTGCCTCCCCTGTCAACCGGAGTGCCACGTGTCTGCTGCTGGCTCTGGGGCTGTTGTGCACAGCCACACACACCAAGAGGTGGTTGCTGTTTGAGACACAGACAGGGAAGGGGAACGTGGGTAGATTCAGGGAGCGGGAGGGTCTGCTGGGAGACAGGGGAGGTTTGAGGGTCTTTGGGGACGCTCCTGACTTCCCTCTCTCCTGTATTTGCAAACCACAAAATCTAGGTAAATGTAGACTTTGATTGATGGCTGACTGTGGGCGGCTAAGGGGGAACTGCCCCACTCTCAAAGGATGATCTGGGAAGCCAGAAGTCAGGGGACAAGGAGGCCAAGGGACCCAATTATCGTGAGACACCCCTGCTTTGACGAAGGGGGAAACTGAGGCTCAGAAAGGTTAGGTCACTTGCCCAAGGTCATACAGCTAGGAAGTGACAGGACTGGGATTTGAACCCAAGGCTTCTGAAGCCTGAAATCTCTCCGCTGAAGAAACCGTGCAGCCTGCCCCACAGGGTCAGTGGGAGGCTGAATAGGCACAAGGGAGAATCAGCAGCCACTCAGGAAGTGGTCCCACGCACATATCCCCTCTGAGCCTGGGTCTCACCCTGTGAATATACACGAGCCCCAGGGTGGTGGCAGTAGGGAGCTGATACGCTCTTGGTGACATGACTGGGACACAGCATGCTTACTGTGACCTTAACCAGCAGGGCACTCATCCACTGACAATTCCAGCTCATGGGAGGAGACAGACTGCAGCCACATACAGCAAGCGGTGGTCGCCATTTATTGAGACTCAGACAGGGAAGGGAAACGTGGGGAGATTCTGGGAGCAGGTGGGTCTGCTGGGAGACGGGGGAGATCTGAGGGTCTTTGGGGACCACTGCAGACTTCCCTCTCTCCCAATGGCCTGGGACACCCAGTCTCCTCTCAATGGTCAAAAGCTCACCCTGCACCACTCAGCACATCACTCGGGCTGGTGGCTGAAGCCCCCTTCCCCTCCCCTCCCATCACAGAACCAAGGAGAAAACCTGGGTAGGTCGGAGCCCTTCCCAGAACACAAATCATCTGCAAATAGTGCAATACGAAGATACCCCTGTGGTGTTCCTGGTCCCCTGAGCTGTTCCTGCTCCTGAAAAGGCTGGGGGAGGGGCGGAGGAGAGGGCTGGGGGCAGCAGAGGTCGGAAGGAGAGGGCTGCAGAGCCCCCAGCTTGCAAGGCTCAGCGGCTAGTATCTCCGGCTGGACGTCTTGACCGTGGTGGTCTTCCTCAGGATGGAGGTGCCCCCAGAGCCGCCCTTGACAGAGCTGTAGCCCACATTCGTGCTGGATCCACTCTTGCCGGTCCCCCGACTCCCGCCCAGGGAGATGCCACCCCCAAAGCCAGCCACGCCGCCTCCGCACACAGTGGTGGAATTGCCAGTCACCGCTGCAAGGCAAAAGGTTGGGATGAGTCAGGGTGGCCGGGCCAGGGAGGGCAAGGGGCACCCAGAACTCAGTGAGGGATTGGGACAAAGCCAAGGCAGACCCCAGGAAATGGGCAGAGAACCCCAGTGCAGGGAGCCCCCGGGACCCTCTGAACTTGTCTCAGGGGCGTGGATGGAGGGGAGCGTGTTTTAGGACCAGGACATGACAGGCACTGAGCAGGGGACTGGGGCCAGGCCAGGGGCGGGACAGGAACCAGGCGGCAAATACTCACAGATGCTGACTGCGCTGGGATGTTCTCCAGACATCCTGGGAAACAGAAAGGCCAGGAGAGGATCATTGGTTCCAGGGGCCCAAGGGAAGACCCTCTCCTTCCCTCTGCCTCTACACTGGGCTAACTCGGTGGGTCTGGAGGCACGAGAAGTGTGGGCAGACCTGGGATTTGAACCCAAGTCTTCTGAAACTGAGATCTCTCCACTGAACAGATCGGGCTGCCTGCCTCATAGAGTTGAGTGTTGCAGGTCCCAGAGTCAGTGCCCGGGTCCCAGAGCCAGCCCCTGAGTCCGAGAGCCAGCACCTGGGTCTCAGTGCTAGCGCCCAGGTCCTAGTGCCAGCGCCCAGGTCTCAGAGCCAGTGCCCGTGTCTGAGTGCCAGCACCCAGGTCCTATTGCCAGAGCCCAGATCTCAGAACCAGTGCCCGTGTCCAAATGCCAGTGCCCAGGTCCCACAGCCAGTGCCCAGGTCCTGGTGCCAGTGCCCAAGTCTCAAAGTCAAGGCCTGGGTCCCAGTGCCAGTGTGCGAATCCCAGTGCCAGCACCTGGATCCTAAAGCCGGCGCTGAGAGGGACAGAGGCGCCAGCCAGTCCCGCCAGTCCCGCAACCTCTCCTTTCCCCATCCCCGTACGGCCCGTGGACAGCATCCCGCCCCAGTGGAGACAAGCCCAAGAGCAGACAGAGTTGCCCGGTTTCTGCCCACTCTGTCTCCTGCCTTCCCCAAGGACAGAGACAAGGGATTATTTTCCCAAATGGGGGTGGAAGAGGAAGCTTCGTCCCTACTGTGCTGCCCGCCAGTATGAGGACTACTCGAGGGCTGTGCCCAGCAAGGAGAGCAGCAGCCGAGCAGTGGGCGCAGCTCTGGGGCTGACTAGAAGCCGGGTCCCCAGCCCCGTCCATCCCCCGCCCCGGCTGGCTGGAGCTCGGCCTCTCCCTAGGGCAGTCGGTCACCCCACCTGCTCTCCTCGCCCTCCAGGAGGGTCCGGTAGGTGGCGATCTCCACGTCCAGGGCCAGCTTCACGTTCATCAGCGCCTGGTAGTCGCGCAGCAGCCGGGCCAGGTCCTCCTTGGCCTGGTGCAGGGCCACGTCCAGATCCCCAAGCTTCTTCTGCGCATCCTTGAGCGCCAGGTCCCCACGCTGCTCTGCTTCCGCGATGCCTGTCTGCAGCTGCTGACACTGCCCAGAGGGAACGAGGGGTTGGGAACACCCTCCGGGGTCACCCCATCCATCTCTCTGCCTCAAGCCAGGCATCGCCATCCCCACGCCCCCGCCCCCCACTGACCAGGAAAGAAAGAAAGGGGAGGCCGTGCGCGATGGCTCAAGCCTGTAATCCTAGCACTTTGGGAGGCAGAGGCGAGAGGACTGCCTGAGCCCAGGGGTTTGAGACCAGCCTGGGCAACTTGGCAGGACCTCGTCTCTACAATAGATTAAATTAAATTAAATTAAAAATAGCTAGGTGTCATGACATGCGCCTGTGGTTCCAGCTACTTGGAAGGCTGAGGCGGAAGGATCGCCTGAGCCCAGCAGGTTGAGGCTGCGGGGGCCGTGAGTGTGCCACTGCACTCCAGCCTGGGCGACAGAGTGAGGCTTTGACTCAAAAAATAAAAGCAAAGAAAAAAGAAGAAGGAAAGAGGAAATCTGCGAGAGAAGAGATGCTATTACATAAGCAGGATCATGTATCACCACGGGGAAAGTCCTTACTGAAACCCTGCTAGTCGAGTCCCTCCTGCTGCAGCTCGACCCAGTGCCTCAGAAGAGATAAAATAAATAATACAACCCTACTACGAAGCCACTGCCCCATTCTTGGGGAAGAATCCACACTTTCTAGCCATTCCTAGATGGAGTTAGCATCAGTGACCCCAACTCCTGAACCCTCAGCCTCCTGTTCTGACCTCCAGGAGATAGGCTGGATGAGCTTCCTTGAGAGAAGGCCATCCCACCTGCTCTATCACTTATCTGCTGTGTGACCTTAGGCAAGTCCCATCCCCCCTCTGGGCCTCAGTTTCCTCCCCTGTAACAGGACTTGATGGTCCTGATGGCCTGGCATTCGAGTGTGTCCCACCCATCAGCAGGAGAGCAAGATGACACGCAAAGGGACCCCGGCCCTGCCAATCCCCCGGCCCAACCCCCAATCCCCGGCAGAGGTGCACCTGCTTCCTGGCTGCATCCACCTCCCCCTGCAGCCTCTGGACAGTGCGGGTGAGCTCGGCGATCTCGTTCTTGGTGTCCCGCAGGTTGTCCCCATGCTTCCCAGCCGTCACCTGCAGCTCCTCGTACTGCAGGCCAAGGAAGGGGCAGTGCTCGCAGACATCCCCGCCCATAGGGTCACCCTCGGCCCCAGAGCCCCCTCTCCGCTGGAGGCCCCTGGGCAGGCTGAGTGTGCCTGGTTCCCAGGACTCCAGGATCCCCAGGACCTGGGCCTCTCACAATGAGGGAAGGTCGATCTCACCCCAGCCACATACCAGGCCAGGGTCCTCCTCACCTTGGTCTGGTACCAGGTCTCGGCCTCAGCCCGGCTCTTCTGGGCAATCAGCTCATACTGGGCCTTGACCTCGGCAATGATGCTGTCCAGGTCAAGGCTGCGGTTGTTGTCCATGGACAGGACGACATTGGTGTCAGACACATGTGTCTGCACTTGGCCCAGCTCCTAAGGACACAGAGACAGCTGCCACCAGCGCCCCAGCCCCAGGTCCCAGGAGGCAGCAGGGGACAGAGGACAGGGCCCCTAGGAGGATCAGGAGGCCTGGGCTCTTGCCCAGGCTCCATCCTAAAGCCAAGTTCCTACTGCCAGGAAAGGCCTCAGTCTCCCCAGCTGTGAAATGGGACTTCCTTTACTTTTGTGGATTTGTCTGGCACCGTGTGAACACACACACCAGCCCTTCTCATCTTGAGGACACCCAGAGGCAGGCCTCACGTTGTCACAACCGCACGGTCCCCTTCCCCAACATGACCAACTGCCAGTATTGTCTGGAAGCATCATCCCACCGCCCCAGCTCAAGGTCCCTCTTCAGTCCCATGCTGGAGCATGGGCCTGGGAAATGTCAACCCAGAGCTGGGTTCAGTGGCTCAGCCTATAATCCCAGCACTTTGGGAGGCCGAGGCGAGTGGATTGTCTGAGCCCGCAGGTTCGAGACCAGCTCTGGCTACTTGGCAAGACCTCGTCTCTACAATAAAGTAAAAAATTAGCTGGGCGTGGTAGCACATGCTTATAGTTCCAGCTACTTGGAAGGCTGAGGCAGAAGGATCACCAAAGCCCAGCAGGTCAACACTGGGGTGGCTGTGAGTGTACCACTGCGTTCCAGCCTGGGCAACGGAGTGAGACTCCAACTCAAAAAAAAGAAAAAGGAAAAGAAAATCAACCCAGAATTCCTAAGACAAGGGGGGTGGGTGAGGTGGTGGTCTTGCTAGGGACAGAAAGCCCAGGCTTCCCCATGAAACGGAGCCCATGAAAGTGGAGTGAGAAGAGTTCTGAGAATCCCCAAGGCGTGTGTCTCCTTAGACACCTGGGACCCTGAGGGGGGACAGGCAATGGACTGGTCCAGGCAAGGGGAAGAGGACCAGAGCGGCAGAAGTGGTATTGCTGGAGGAGTCCAGCCAGAGGGAGGTCACGGAGGCTGCCTTTCCCGAGACACCCAGTGATGGGTGATTCACCCTCTAGATTGCCCTGCGATCTGGGTTGGCCAAATCCAAACCATGAGTGGATTGCTGGGCACCATATTGGCACTCACAACTGGTGCAGACCAAGAGGCAGCAAGGGAACAGCTGTTCTGGCCTTCCTTCTCACCCCAGGAGGCACCGCTGGGCCATGAGGCGCTGTGACAGGAAGTGGTCCTAGCTCGGTCCCCAAACCTCTTCATGGAAATCTGTCCACACACCCGATGCCCAGCCCACCAGCCCTTTGTTGGTCCCCAAACACACCGCTCTCCTTCATGGCACTGCACAGGCTGGACCCCAGGCTGGCAGGCCTCTCCCACTGCTCCTTCAGAAGCCCAACCCTTCCTTCAAAATCCAACTCTGGCCAGCGCGGTGGCTCAAGCCTGTAATCCCAGCACTTTGGGAGTCCGAGGCAAGAGGATTGCCTGAGCCCAGGGGTTCAAGACCAGCCTGGGCAACTTGGTGAGACCTCATCTCTATAATGTATCAAAAAAATTAGCCAAGCATGGTAGCATGTGCCTATAGTTCTGGCTACTTGGAAGGCTGAGGTGGAAGGATCACCTGAGCCCAGCAGGTTGACACTGGGGTGGCCGTGAGTGAGCCACTGCACTCCAGCCTGAGTGACAGAGTGAGGCTCTGACTAAAAAAAAAGATCCAACTCAGATATCATCTCCTCCGAAGGCTCCCCAGCCCTGCCTGGAAAGGTCTGCCACAGCCTCCCCATGTACCTGATCCCAGCACAGCTCTCATCACCTGATGACCTGATCCCACAAGAGCAGGGACTTCATTTTTATTATTACATGGAAGGTACTCAGGAAATATCTGTTAAATGAACAAGTGTCACAAAGGAAAGGAAAACTGGATACGCCAGCCATGTGCCTCAGACGAGAGGAAAGCCAATTGCTAAACATTCCTTAAAAAGGACAAGGAAGCCCTAAACCATGCATGGCCATCAGGGATCCCAGTAAACATGAAACTGGGGAAGCATCTCAAAACCCAGCATGGTGGCCCAGAATACCTCCCAGATGCTAGAAGGAGAGCATGGCAGACAAGGATGAGGTGGGGACATACCAAGACCAGGGACCAGAGGCTGCCAGATAAACTCCAGGGAAGAAGAAAAGGGAGGTCCCCTCAGCCTCACCCCTGCAGAAGACCCAGGAAAAGTCGAGCGCACGATGGCTTTGTCATCAAGGAGAATAGTCACCAAACTGAAAAGCGTAGGAAAAATACTCGAGAGGAAGTGGGAGCCCAAGATAGGAGGGGCCTTGGCCCTGCTGGAGATCCCAGGGTAGAGGCCACAGGAGCACTTCCTCAGAGGTCCTGGGGACTGCTGAGGAGAGGAACACCCTGGTGATCCTTGAGAAATATGAAGGTTCCAGAGCTCCAGACACAACAACGCTTCATCTTCCAAGGGAGAGACTTGGAATTCCCCAAGCTTAACCAGTGTCAACCACCTACAAAGCTACAGAATGAATTAGAAGGTGTGTGAGAGGCATACAGCCATCAGGAGTCCCCAAGGAAAAGTGAAGCCAAGTGAACTTCATTTTCTTTCATGATTACACTGCTTGGCCAAGTCTTTCACGGCATTCTTGAAAATAAGGCAGAAAAATGTGGTCCACATGATGGTATGGTTACGTGGATTTTAAAGTGGCTGCCAGCTGGGCACAGTGACTCATGCCTGAAATCCCAGCACTTTGGGAAGCTAAGGCGGGAGAACTACTTGAGCCCAGGAGTTCGAGAATGGCCTGGGCAACATAGCCAGACACTTGTCTCCACAAAGAAAAAGAAGAAAGTAGTTAGCCCAGCATGGTAGTATGTGGCTATAGTCCCAGCTACTCAAGAGGTTGAGGTGGAAGAGTCACCTGAGCCCAGGGGGTGAAGGCTGCTGTGACTCATGATTGTGTCATCACTCTCTAGTCTGGGTCACGGAGTGAGACCTCAACTCAAAAAAAAAAAAAGGAGGTGAGGCACTTTAGCTACAAATTGTTGATTAAAGGAGTGATCACATGGTGGAAAGTCACCACTGAAGACCCACAGAACTCTATGTCGGGCACTGACTGCCTTAACATGTTTGTCAATTATTTACACTGAAACGCTATCAAACACCAGAACTGAAAGTGTGTCAGGACTGCAGGTAACTCAGAGCTGAGCATCACTAACACACTGGAGAGGAGAACCAAGTCCCCCAGTGCCCACATAGTAAGCTCTCTGCTTCTAGAAGTATTCAAGTAGAAGCCACATGGCCCTGTCAGGGTATCATAGAAAGGATTCTGGCATTGGAATGAAAGGTTGGCGTTGAGGTTCCTGCTGATCCTAAGAGTCTTTGATTCTGTGGTCAATTCTTGTTAAGTGCAACCCTCTCACCCAAGTCTCCAGAGCCCCTTTGCCTCCTGGGACCCGCCACCCCCCGCCCCAGCATCTGTGATCTCCCCAGTACCCACATCTCCCTCTTGCCCCAACCTGGAATCCCAGTCCCTACTCTGCCCAGCCCTGCTCCCCCATCCCTTGTGTCACTATATACTGAACTGAAAGATGGCCACATGATAGTGGTGACAGTCAGACTTTGGAGTTCAAGCACCGAGTTTGAATTCTGGCACTGCCTCTTACTAGCTATGTGCCCATGGGCAAGTCCTCTGAGCCCCAGTAACCTTGACTATAAAATGGAGACAGTAATAGTACCTACACAGTGGGATTGTTGAGAAGATTATGTAAAAAGCTTGGGCTGAGTATGGTCCATCAAAAGCCCTTACTACATGGAAGTTTCCATCTTCTGCCAACCGGGTTGCCCTGGTGCATTCAGATCAGACCTCCATGGAATATTTACGTATGTGAATATATGCAAATTATTCCTCCCCTTGGTCACCTCACCATTTCGTAGAGTTGCTGCAGGAAGCCAATCTCCTGGGTCAAGTTGTCCACTCTGCCATGCAGGTCCATTCTGCCCATGTACGCGGCGTCCACATCCTGAGGGCGAGGGAGAGAGCAAGGCAGATGCTCAGCCCCGGGATCTCACTCTCTCTGCGTCAGCCCAGCACCCTTCAGCCGAAGGACCGCCTCCCCCTACTCCCTGACCCCTGCTCACCTTCTTGAGCACCACAAACTCATTCTCCGCGGCGGTACGCTTGTTGATTTCATCCTCGTACCTGTTACACATGGGAGACACAAGCAGGCCCAGCTACGTCTTTCAAGCTTTAGACCCATCTCTCAGCTCTAAGACCCCCCCGTTGGTCAAGAACACCTTTGGGAAGCAGTTCTTTAAAGCAGATGACCAGGGAAGAAATGTGAGGTACTGCCTTTATTTAAGCATTCTCTCTCCCCACCCTCTCTTGGGGAAAGAGGCCCAGAATTTGTGCAATAAGATGGCAATCGAGAGCAGCTGTGTCTTTGGATCCAAGCCCTGAGAAAGTTTGACAGGGAAGAGTGAAGCTGTGTCAACAGTGGTCAACCTTTGTGTTCACTTTCAACAACTAGATGTACCTTAGAACAACTAACTCTTCCCCACCCACTTTTGCTGAGACCTGAAGGTTTAGCAATTGCCTGAGTCATTTATGGGAGAAGTTATAAAAAATGGTGCCTTAAAGTTATAAATATATGTATCAACCAATCATAGCATAGGAACCTTATTTGGAGCTTGGATCGAACAAGTTGTATTTTTAAAATTTGTGACATTTACGGGACAACTGGAAATTCAAAACCGGCCAGATATTTGATGATATTAGAAACTACTGTTTTAAAAATTGTAGGTGTGACTATGGCATCGTGTTTATGTTTTATTAGGTCAGGTAATGCAGATGAACCATACGAACATATCTAGTAAAATATTTGTGCGTGAAATGACAGGGTGATTGGGATTTGCTTCAAGACAACAGAGAGGAAGGGAAGTGGGGCGGAGGAGAGATGAAACCAGATTGGCCATGAGCTGGTGATGGGAGCATGGGGGCTCATCAAACGATTCTCCCTCTTCCTAATAAAGTCTTTTGTAAGTCCGGGCATGATGGCACACACCTGTATTCCCGGCATTTTGGAAGGCCGAGGCAGGAGGAACACTTAAGCCCAGGAGTTCAAGACCAGCCTGGGCAACATAGCGAGACCTCACCTCTACAAAAAATAAAAGTAAATTAACTAGGAATGGTGGCGTGTGCCTGTAGTCCCAGCTACTCAGGATGCTGAGGTGGAAGGATCGCCTGAGTCCAGGAAGTCAAGGCTGGATGAGCTGTGATTTTGCCACTGCACTCCAGCCTGGGCAAAAAAGTAAGACCCTAACTCAGAAAAAAAAAAAGACTTTTTTAGAATTACAAAGAATACACAAAGAAACCTGCCCATTTTCTGGCCAGTAGCAGGTCATGGACCTGAGCCCTCGAGGAAATCAGCTCTATATGCACATCTCCTGGGTGGGTCCAGGTCCACGCTGCCCCACCCCGGCCCCCACGGCCCCAGCCTGTCCAGCTCTCTCACTTGCTCTTGAAGTCCTCGACGAGATCCTGCACGCTCCTCAACTCTGAGTCCAGCCTCCCCCGCTCACTCTGGAAGCCATCCAACTGCCTCCGCAGGTTGCTCAGATAGGTCTCAAAGAGAGGCTCCAGGTTGTTCCTGGTGACACCCGAGTTCTGGCCCTGCTCCTGCAACAGCGCCCACTTGGTCTCCAGCACCTTGTTCTGCTGCTCCAGAAACCGCACCTGCACCAGAGTGAGAAAGGCGGGCTGGTGTCAGCTCCCGGCCATGGGAGGGCCAGAGGATGGGGCCAGTGGCCACTGCCCATCCAGGTGACTTCCCTAACAGAGGAGAGGCATTCCTGAGGGGAACAGTCTGCTGGGAATGACAGTGCCATCTGATGGAAAGGACTCCAAAGAGTGACCAACGCAAAAGCCCCAGGTCTACCATTTACTAGCTGGTGACCTTGGTAGAATCACTTCTCTCTGAGTCTTCCTTTCTCAATTGTCCTGGGTAGGCTGGACTCGGTCAGTGTCTCTGAACCCTAATTCTGCATCAAAATCAACTGTTTAAAATGCACAGGCAGGGCGCAGTGGCTCATGCCTATAATCCCAGCACTCTGGGAGGCCGAGGTAAGAGGATCGCTTGAGCCTAGGAGTTTGAGACCAACCTGGGCAACATAGCGAGACCTTGTCTCTAAAAAAAATTTTAAAAATAAACCAGACATGGTGACGTACACCTGTTGCCTCAGCTATTCAGGAGGCTGAGGTGGGAGGACCCCCAGAGCCCAGAAGGTCGAGGCCACAGAGAGCCATGATTGCACCACTGCTGCACTCCAGCCTGGGTGACAGAGTGTGACCCCAACTCAAAAAATAAATAAATAAAGTAAAATGCGGATTCAGGTCAGGTGTTATGGTTCTCACTTGTAATCCTGGCACTATGGGTAGTCTGAGGCGGGAGGAATCACTTGAGACCAGGAGTTCAAGACTAGCCTGGGCAACAGAGCAAGACCCTGTCTCTACAAAAGTAATTAGCCAAATGTGATGGCACACATCTGTATTCCCAGCTACTCAGGAGGCTGAGGTGGGAGGGTTACTTGAGCCCCAGGAGTTCCAGGCTACAGTGAGCTATGATCCTGCCACTGCACTCCAGTCTGGACAACAGAGCAAGACCTTGTCTCTAAAAATAAATAAGTGAATAAAATGCAGATTCATACACATACACATACTCAGAAAGAGAGAAGAAAAGTGCAAATGTGGTAGAATGTTAAAAACTGGCGAATTGAGTGCAAGCGTGTACAAGGAGTATGTTGTATCATTCATGCAAGTTTTCTGTGAAATCAACATTTCATCCAAAAAACTTTTTTTGTTTAAATACCAATGCCCGGGCCCTACTCTATAGACAAAAAAAAAAGGGCTCATAGCATAGATCTGACAGGCCTCCAGGGGTTCTGTGCGCAGCCAGGGTCCCAAAACAATCCCTGACACCCCCAGCCCTCAAGCTGTGCTTCTGAGAACCTGAGAGAAGTCTTGGCCTGCTTGACCCCTGGGACCGTCCCACAGAAAAGCAGGAGTCACTAGGGGAGAGGACAAGGAGGTGGGCGGGATAGCTTGCTTCACCCTCCGCCATCCAGTGTCTCCAGGTCCCACCTCCACAGCACCAGGGGCCCACATGGCCCGGAAGCACCACACAACCCGTGCACCTCCCCTGAGCAGTCACGATGCTTCTGGGTGCCAAGGAACGTAGAGCTCAGGAACCTTGGTCCCAGTTCCACCTCTGCCTCCAGCTACCTGCATGATCCTTGACAAATCACTTGACCTCTCTAGCCTCGGTTTTCTCATCTAAAAAATGGGCCTACTGTCAACTACTCTGACTCCTCATGGAACCACTGTGGGCATCGCATGAGAAAAGGGATGTGAATGTTCTGTGGAAAAACACAGATCGCTGATCGAAGGTACACTTGTCCACCATCACGTCTGCCATCATGACCTCGGCTCAGGGCCAAGTTGGACAAGGCCAGCAAAAGACACCAGAAAATGACAGCATGAGAGCTGCCCCAGCCCACCTGGAGGCAAGAGAAAGATTCAGGACACTCTGATCTGCAACAGGTCAATCTCCTGGCGACCTGGTGACCCCCCTCCTCCTTGTCTACCCCAAACTGAGCTTCTTGGCTCAGACAGAAAGGAGGAAAAGGAGACGCCAAAGCAGGACTTCCCCTAGGACCACCACCCCCGCCCCCCATCTGTGTTCTGGTCACATCTTGCACTTAGGCCTTCTTCAAGCCTGAAAGAAGGGGACGGACAGGGCTCCGTGCCGCAGCCTTGGACGGCGTGTCTGACCCCTGAGTCATCGTTTCCCAGGCTGTAAAATGGCAAAGGGCAATAAGGGCCTCCCCTCTAGAGGACAAGCCATTTTGGACTGTGGGACACAGCTGCCGTGCGAGCATATCAACGAGGGCCACAGGACAGGCCCCGACAGTCAAGGCGGGCTTGGCCAACGGGCCTCACGAGGAGGCTGGAAGACTCTCTTGCAGTCACAGTAAGCACCCGGCAGGCCGTCTCCAGCCCCCCATGGCCCCGCGTGTCGGGCCAGGAGAGCTCCAGTATCAGTCCATCTACCCCACTCCAGTGGACACAGGAAAGCACAGCCCCTGTCCAGTCCTTGCCCAGCCCTCTCCCCTCCCCCAGCCCCCCAGCAAAGGCCCCACTTCTGCTCCAAGGGACTCGGACTCCTTCCCCCATGGCCCACCTTGTCAATAAAGGAGGCAAACTTATTGTTGAGGGTCTTGATCTGCTCTCGTTCCTGGGTGCGTACACGCTGGATCTCGGGGTCGATCTCCACGTTGAGGGGGGTCAGCAGGCTCTGATTGATGGTGACCTCCTGGATCCCGCCGGGAGGACAGGCAGGCCCGAACATCTGCCGGCCGGCCCCCAGGCCCGCAAACGCCCCACCACCAAAGCCTCCCAGAGCCCGCCCGGAGGAGGCCCCTCCGGCCATGCTGACCGAGATGCTCTTGCTGCCCCCTAGGTTGTAAAGGCTCCGGCTGCCAAAGCCACACGTGCTGGGGCCGCCACGGACCCCACATCCGCGGGTCCCCCCGCTGCTGCCACTGCTCCTGGACACTGCCACGGAGCTGAAACTGGTGTGGGTCCGGGACCCGCCCCCTCCGCTGGCGGAGTTGGAGCTGAAGCCCCCTTTGGTGGCATATGTCCGCCGAGACACAGAGGACCTCATGGCTGCCGGAGGGGCGGGAGAGCAGGCTGAGAGGGCCGGGACCCAGTGCAGTGAGCCCCAGAGCCACCGCGGGCTTTTTATCTTCTCCCGACTGGGCTGGCTCTTGGGCTCCTACACACTCCTGCCTCCTCGTCCCGGGAGGGGAGGGGAGTGCTCTCTCCCCCAGCAGGAGGGAGGAGCTGTTATCACCTGTGCTCCAGAGCTGGGGCTGAGCCGAGCCTGTCTGGGGCGGGATGCCACCTTCTCCCCCCCACCCACCCTGGGCTCTCCTCGTTGGCACGAGATGACACGGGCTCCCACGGCTACCCCCACCACCCCATGGCTGACTGGGTCTCCTCCCACCCGGCCCTGATGGCCACCGTCAATGGGGCTCTGTTCTGTGGGGTTTGTCCCAGGTCCCTGTCGCAAGCCAAGGCCGCAGGGCCCCGGGCTATGCAGGTGGCAAAGGAGGGCGCTTGGGCAATGGGCTGCCCGAGCGAGTGCCCAGGCCTGCTCCCGTTCCACCCTCCAGCCCACGGCCTCACTGCTCCTCACGGGTCCGGGATGGGGGGCACAGGCGACAGGGTGGGGTGGAGGTGGTCTGCATCTCTGTCGCATGCTGGCAGACTGCTGGGTGGAGTCCAGAGGATTCAAGGACAGAAAGAGGGTCCCTGCCCAATCGTGGAGCCTGGGCCCTCGACAAGGAGGTAGGGAAGGCCTGGGCCCTGAAACCTGGGGACAATGCATGCCCACTCTTTCAGAGGCTCAGTTGAGGCTTCAACCACCACCTGAGACCCGGATCCCCTGCCCCATGGCAGAGCCTTCCCTGAAGGGCCCAGCCACTCTGGAGGGAGCTGGGGAGGGTGGGGGACACAGCCCAGCCTGGTTGGTGATGCTCAGACCCAAGATGCAGGCGCACCGTAAACCCCAAGAGACCCATGCAACAACCCGTCACTCCTGTCTCCCTGCCCACCAGGAGCCCAGTGTTGGATTCAGAAGGCCCATTTCACATGGCCCCCCCAATTCCTACTCTTCCAGTCTGCTGGGACCATACACAGCCCCAGGCAAAGACGTCAAGACCTCAAAAGTCAGGGCAGAGGGGGTGAATGAGGAAGAGACTTTAGAGACTGAACCTGCTCTCCCTGTCACCTCTCAGCAAGAAAGTGCCTCAGAGAGGACAGAGAAGCGCCCAAGGAAAGAGTTGTGCCCCCACACCCCGCCAGGCTGGAGACCCTCTGCCAGCTTGTGTTCCCAGGATCCCAGCAGAGAGGGTGTGGAGGAGGCCTGGAGGAGGCCTGGCCCCCCTCTCATCATCCCCACAACTCCAGAAGGCAGGTGGAGATACAGTCCACTCCGGGACCACAGGGGGCTGTGGGGACCTCCGAGGGTCACTGGGAAGCTACCAGTGGCTCCTGGCTGCTTGAAGAATTTGAACCCGGCTCTCACAAGAGATGCCGGTGAGGGCACTCACAGAACAAGTCTCTTAACGCCCAAGAGGAGACTTTCCTCTCTGCTTGGAATTAGGATATGGGACATTTTGGGGAGCTGAGCTGAGCAACGTATCCCCATGAGCTGTGTGTCCTTCGGCCACTCTCAGCCTCCCTGGGCCTGATGTGCTCTGCCTATAAGCAGGACTCTCGTTGGAAGTCCCTTGGAAAAGTGACAGCCCGCATCCCTGGGCGTGCCACTGCTTCCCACTGACCTTTATCTCCTTTCCCCAGGCTGTGATCGCTTTCTCAGCCTCCCTTATCTCTCCCGGGGCCGCGTGGGAGGGGAGCCGGTCATGAGTGGGCCCTGGCCGCCAGGATGTGGCTGTGGGCCCTCTAGGCAGGGAGTGATGTCAGCCCTCTGAGTCACGGGCGGTGGGAGTGGGCGTCGGTCGGTAAACACAGATTTCACCCCACCCCAGAGACGGACACTCGCTCTCTCGTGCGTGCCAGTCTCTCACGCAGATGTACCGAGCACGCCGTCTGCCCCAGGCTTGGTGCTGAGGACTGGTGATGGTGCCCGGGCAGCTCGGGGCCCACTCTCTCTTGGAGTTCCAGCTGCTGCTTTTGGACAGCCTCCCCCTACCCAGACAGTGGCAAGGGAGGCCACGTTGCCTCCTCCAGGCCTTATTCTCCATTCCACTTCCACACAGGACATCCGAGCTCAGACCTTCCTCCTGCAGCCCAAAGGGGGGCAGTTCCCTCCCCTCCTGCCCTCCATGGAGAAGGAGAGCTACTACCTGCCACTGTGACCTGCCCGGCATCCCTCCCTGCTGGCAGGACACAGGAGCAGAGGGAGGGGCATGAGACAGTTGAGCGTATCAACTGAGCATCTAAGATGGGTTGGGCTGGGTGCCAAGCACCAGGAAACATAAAGGGAAGGACCCCCACAGAGGGTAGGGCTTTCTAAGCTGACAATAAGCATTCTCCTGGTCAGCATTCATTGAGCACGTACTATGTGGCTGACGGTGGCCTAGGCACTTTCTAGGCCACGGCGTGTGGAATCTCCATGCTGGTGAGGCTCCACCCACCTGTTCCCACTTCATTCCCCACTCCCCTCAGACCCCCGTGGGCTGTCACTTTGCTCTCTTGCTTCCAGCTGGGTTGACCAAAGGGAGATGCCAGCTGGAGATCAGAGGAAGGAGAGAGGGCGGGTGTTTCTTCCCTGCTCCAGACCACTTCAGACGGCCATCTGTGTCAACAGCTGCAGTCCCCCATGATTACAGCTTCCTTCTAGGGAGACCTCCTCCACGACACGAGCAACTCTGCCATTAGGTCACTCCACTTCTTCTCTAGCTCTTCAACTCTCCGAAAAGTGACCAGCCCATCTGCTTCTCCCAGGACTGAAAGTTCCGGCACTGAAAATCCCCTCAGTGCCGGATAAACCTGTAGGACTGATCGCGCTGGCCCTAAGGGTGGGGATGGCTGCCCACCACTACTGCTCACCTCTGGTCTCTCCATCCTGTGCTCCTCAGCCCTACACAGTCCTCTCACTAGTCAAGTTAGCGCCCTCGGGTCCTCGTTTCCAAGATGACACAGAAGGGAAGGAACACCAGTTGTGCAGAAAGGGCTGCGGGGTGCAGCCTGTTCACAGCACAAATCGCTCCCCACGCATGCCCGAAGATGAGGCCATCAAGAGGCTCATCGTCCAAAGCATAGTGGCAGAGGCTGCAGATGTCAGGGACTCTTCCACCGCGAGTGTCTTGGCCATCTGGGTGCCTCAAAAGCTATCAGTGAGGTTGCTTCACTGCGTAAGGTATGTCACCCACAGCACGGCATGTGGGACATCGAGGGAAGCCCACAGGAACCCAACACCTCCACTCCAGTGAGACCTCAGGGTGCTGCCCATGACCTCTACCACAGCCCACGTAAGGAGCCGAATCCTTAAGCACTGGAGAGATACTACCCTCTGGGGAAGAAATAAAATGGAAATCATACTTTTTTTTTCCTAGTTGGAGTCTCAGTCCGTTGTCCATGCTGGAGTACAGTGGCATGCTCACAGCCACTGCAGCCTTGACCTGCTGGGCTCCGGCGATCCTTCTGCCTCAGCCTTCCAAGTAGCCGGAAATACAGGCGCACGCAACCACACCTGGCTAATTTTTTGATTAATTGTAGAAATGAGGTCTCACCAAGTTGCCCGGGCCAATCTCAAACCCCCAGGCTCAGGCAATCCTCTCGCCTCGGCCTCCCAAAGTGCTGGGATTACAGGCTTGTGCCACCTCCCCTGGCCTGGAAATCATACCTTTTAACAGTCAATTTAATTAAATGAATTTGCATGGATTTAGTTTCCTTTTCAATCCCGCATGCCACCATCACCACACAGCCCTGTCAGGTATATTTTGTTATTCATCTGTTTTATGGATGGAAAAATTGAAGCACAGAGAGGTTAAGTTGCTTGGTCAAGGTCACACCGCTAGGCCATGGCAGAGCTGGGATTCAAGAGCTCCGGCTCTGGGACCATGTCCTATCTGCTCTTGTCTCCTCTGGAGGCTGAAAAGTTTTCTTCTACCTAATGTTGGTGGAGAGATCTGTGGATCTGAGGAAAGGGCCACCCTCCCCTGAAGCACGGAGAGGCAGAGCATAACCTCCTGCAGCCCAGGCTGTGGAGTTTGGGGCTGAGCCAGATCCCCACCCGGGTCTGGAAAGGGAGAGAGAGGAGGAGCAACCACAGGAGCCCATATGGCTGCTGGGGTGGGAGGAAAATGCATTCTTCCCAGCCCCTCCTGGCACCCAGCCCCAACTCCCACACTCCTGGCTTTCTACTGAGTTTCTGGAAGGAGAGGAAGGAGGAGAACATGCCCAGGGCCCCAGGCTCATAGAGAAACTGAGTCCCCAGTCAGTCAGAACCAGACAGATACAGAGCCCGGGACAGCAACAGGTGCAACTAGACGGTGCCAGGGACCAGAAGAGTTCAGCAGGTTCAGACATGGAGAATTAGGGAAGGCTTCCAGGAGGAAAAAAATTCAAGTAGAGTTGGAAAGTAGAAACAGCTGAAGGAAGCCACCCCAGGGCAGGACTAGAGCCTCTCATAATAGGCAATTGATGAGGAAAAAAGATACAAGAGTGACTGAAACCTCAGTGGAGACGTAGGAGATGGAAGGCATCCCAAGGAACACACTGGAGGGCTCAAAGGAATCCCTTATAAGCTAATTGGGATGTGGGGTGAGATGCCCATAGGACATGCTTGGACAACCATAGATACTCCATAGATTGCCTTCTGATGACAGGAGTCTGGAGAGATGCACAGCTTTTGCTTTGCTGGGTGAGGTGTGCAAGCCCAGAGGCAGAGTGGAATTGCCGGAAGCAGTGGCAGAAAAATTGCACACAGCCACAGGGAACCTCCACCCCGGCCCTTCAGCCTCTCTACTAGATGTCCTTTGAACCCATATTCCAGGCTACTGCTTCACATCACTATTCAATTGTTACCCTGCCAGGGCACCCCTACCCAGGAGTGCAAGGAGCCGGTTAAGGCTCAGAGGTAGGGGGAGGTAACAAGAACAAGGCTTGCATCCCTGGATAGAGCTGGAGTCAGGTCATCACTGGAGTGGGACTGGAAAAAGGAACAGGACACAAAGGGGCCTTGCCACAAATCTCCATTTCCCAACAATCCGCATTAGTCACAGGAGGCCAGCCTCTGGCCTTGGAGGCTGCAGGCTCCAAGAAGGAAAATTTGGCTCTCATAGGTTGGAGGGATTATGCTAGAGACACCTGAAGGAGACAGGATAGGAGAGACGCTGGATCCACTGAGTGCCAGAGTAGCCCCTGTCCTAGCACAGTGCCTCAAGTATGGGTTTATTTTTTGATTGTTTTATTTTAGAATCATGGTGTACATGTGAGAATTTGCTACATAAGTATATTGTGTGAAGGCAAGGTTTGGGCTTCTAATGAGCTTGCTCCCCTCCTAACAGGGGACATGGTACCCAGTGCATGGTTTTGCATCACTTATCCCCCTCTCTCTCTCCTTTAGCAGTGCCCAGCTTCTATGTACCCACCTTTGTGCTTGTGTGCACTATGTTTAGTAGCCACTTATGAGTGAGAATCTGAAGCATTTCGTTTTTTCGTTTCTGTGATAATTCACTTAGAATGAGGGTCTCCAGCTGCATCCATGTTGCTGCAAAGGACATGATTTTGTTCTTCTTTATGGCTGCGTAGTAGTCCATAAAGTATATGTATCACATTTTCTTTATTCAGTCCACCTTCAGTGGGCATCTGGGTTGGTTCCATGTTTTTGTTATCGTGAATAGTGCTGCAGTGAATGTACACAGGTATGTATGTTCATTGCATTGAGAGAGTGATGTGCATTCCTTTGGGTATATTCCCGGAGTGGAATTGCTGGATCAAGTGGTAGCTCTATTTTTAGTTCTTTGAGAAATCTCCAAACTGCTTTTCACAAAGGTTGAACTGGCTTACATTCCCACCAACAGTGTACACATGTTCCCTTTTCTCCACAGCCTCACCAACACCTGTTGTTTTTTGACTTTTTAATGATAGCTATCCAGATCAGTGTTAAATGCTATTTCACTATAGTTTTGATTTGCATTTCTCTGATTATTAACAATGCTTGAGCATTTTTTTCATATGTTTGTTGGTTGCTTGTATGTCTTCCCTTGGGAAGTGTCTGTTCATGTCCTTTGCCCATTCTTTAATGTGGTTATTTTTTTCTTTGTCAATTTATTTGAGTTCCTTATAGATCCTGGGAGTTAGGCCTTTGTCAGATGCATAGCTTGCAAATTTTTTTCCCCATTATGTGGTTTGTCTCCTTACTTGTGTTTTCCTTTTCTGTGCAAAAACTTTTTAGCTTGTTAAGGTCCTGCCTTTCCATTTTAGTTTTTGTTGCATTTGCTTTTGAGGTCTTGGTCATGAATTCATTGCCGAGACTGATGTTCAGGAGGATGTTTCCAGGTTTTCTTCTAAGATCCTTATAGTTTGAGGTTTCACATTTAAGTCCTTGATCCATCTTGAGTTCGTTTTTGTATATGGTGATAGGTAGGGCTCCAATTTCATTCTTCTGTTTGTGGTTAGCCAGTTTTCTCAGCACCATTTGCTAAATATACCTTCCTTTTCCCAGTGCTAGTTTTTGTCAGTGTTTTCAAAGATGAGTTGATCAAAGGTCTGTGGTTTTATTTCTGGGTTCTCTACGCCTTTCCATTGGTCTATGTTTCTATTTTTGTACCAGTCCCATGTTATTTTGGTTACTGTAGCCTTGTAGTAAAGTTTGAAGTCTGGGAGTGTGATGCCACCAGCTTTGTTCTTTTCGCTGAGGATTGCTTTAGCTATTCGGGCTCTTTTTTGCTTCCATATGAATTTAAGTATTCTTTTCTAGGTCTGTAAAAATGTTGCTAGTAGTTTGAGAGGGATTGCATTAAATCTGTTGATTGGGGTAGAATGGACATCTTGATGATATCGATTCTTCCAATCCATGAACATAGGATATTCTTCCATTTGTTTGTGCTGTCTTTGATTTTTTTGAGCAGCATTTTGTAGTTCTCATTGTAAAGATCTTTGACCTCTTTGGTTAGCTGAATACCAAGTTTTTTGTGTATATGTGACTATTGCAAATGGATTGTATTTTTTATTTGGTTCTTAGCCTGCTTGTTGTACATGTATAGAATTGCAGCTGATTTTTGCACATTCATTTTTGTATCGTGAGATTTTACAAAAGTCGTTTATCAGTGCAAGAAGGTTTTTGACAAACTCTCTAGGATTTTCTAGGTATAGAATCATATCATCTGTGATGAAGAAGCTCTTTTCCTATTTGGATGCCTCTAATTTCCTTCACCTGCCTGATTGCTGTGACTGGGACTTCCAGTACTATGTTAAATAGAAATGATAAGTATGACTTGCACTGAACAAAATTTGTGACAGAAGGGAGAAAGCAGGGGCAGGAGGAAGGAGATGAAGAAAGACCCACCCCAGGGTACCAGCTGGGTGCAGCTTCACTTCACAGCACAGCTGGAGAAAAAAGTCCCAAGGAGAGGAGGGAAGAGGGCAAAGCTCTTGGCCCCAGCATCCAGGACCTGGTCAGTGGGCTCCAGGCCTCTCCCCTCTCCCATTAAAGGGCAATATTTGGAATGGGGGTGCAGTCTGCCACGTCCAAGCAAGAGTTTCTCCAGTTCAGCCTGCAGGCTGTGGAGAGGCAGAAATGAAGTTGGCTGGCTGGAGCATGGGACGCCATGCAACTTGGCTTGGGGTGGGCAGCAAACACATGAGATGCCACCAGTATGCAGAGCAAGGCCACACGGGGCGAACATCAGGTGGAGAGTTTTATTGACTTTGCAAAATCCCCTGCGGACTGGGTTGGGCTGTGGGCAGCGGACACAAGTTTGGTCATGATGAAAGGTTGGGAGGGGGAGGAACAGTGAAAGGGCTCAGGAAGCAGGTGGGTGCTGGGTCACTCAGTACGTGACAGATGTCCTCAGACTTGACTCAACCGTCTTCTTCAGGATGGTATGGCAGCTGGAGCTAGAGCCAGAGCCAGACACAGAGCAGGAACCCAGTTCAGGGCCCTTCCCAGATCCCAGGGTGACATTGGAGCCTCCAGTCACGATGCTGGAGCAGCAGGACCCAAAGCCGCCTTTCCGGCCTCTGAGTCCGCAAGTGCCCGCCAAGCCTCCATCAACTCCTCCAGACACGACAGCGCTGCCTCCTACCGTGGCTGCCGAGAAACACACCAGGGTCACAGCAGGGTCCTCGGCATCCCGTGGCGAACCCACTCCCAAAGGGCCCTGGTACTCACAGATAGTGACCTGGCTGGTGCACTCCCCAGACATCCTAGAAGAGAAAGAATAGGAGGAGCGCATGCTAAAGAGGCTGCAAAAAACGCATCCCCATGTGCTTTTCTGCCTGTCAGAGCGGGTCAGGTAAAATCTCAGCAGATAAAATCCACAGTCCCAGCCAGGAGTGGTGGCTCACACCTGCAATCCCAGCACTTAAGGAGGCAGAGGAGAGAGGGTGACCTGAGCTCAGGAGTTCGAGACAAGCCTAAGCAACATGGCGAGACCTTATCTCTACAATAAATCAAAAAAATCACCTGGGTGTGGTGGCACATGCCTGTGGTTCCAGCCACTTGGAAGGCTGAGGCGGAAGGATTGCCTGGGCCCAGCATGTCGAAGCTGTGGTGGCTGTGAGCGTGCCACTGCACTCCAGCCTGAGCAACAGTGAGACTCTGACATTTTTTTAAAATCCACCATTTCCAACTTAAAATCCCTCCCTACAGAGTTGGTTGCCCTTAGTGACTCAGTGTCAGAAGCTCCCTCAGAATCCCCTTCAGCAAGGAGAGTACCGTGTTGGCATCCCATCCCCCTCTCCATCCCAGCTCCATGCTCCCAGTCCCTCCAACCTACTCACCTGCACTCCTCGACCTCCAGCAGCCTGCGGTAGGTGGCGATCTCCACATCCAAGGACAGCTTGGTGCTCATCAGCTCCTGGTACTCACGCAGCTGCCGCGCCATGTCCTGCTTGGCTGCTCTCAGCGCAGCCTCCAGCTCATCCAGCTTGTTCTTGGCATCCTTGAGGGCCAGCCCCCCACGCTGCTCAGCATCTGCAATGGCTGACTGCAGGTTGGCGTTCTGGAAGGGGGTAGAAAGGAGGGAGAAAGTGTCTGTAAGCCCAGCACAGTCTCTCAAAGCACTCACCGTGGCTCTCACTTGAGGGCTGGGGCGGATCATCATCTCATGAGCTCAGAGTTATCCATGGCCACCAGCTTCCCCTCCTCCTACCACACCTCTTATTCATTTTTTAGTATCTTTTATTTTATTTTATTTTTTTGAGTTGGAGTCTTACTCTTGTTGCCCAGGCTGGAGTGCAGTGGCATGCTCACAGCCACTGCAGCCTCGACCTGCTGGGCTCAGGTGATCCTCCTCAGCCTTCCGAGTGGCTGGAACTACAGACACATGCCACCATGCCCGGCTAGCTTTTGTGATTTATTGTAAATACAAGGTCTCACCAAGTTGCCTAGGCTGGTCTCGACCCTGTGGGCTCAGGCAATCCTCTCGCCTCAGCCTCCCAAAGGGCTGGGATTACAGGCTGAGCCACGACGTCCAGTTTTTTTGTTGTTGTTTTGTTTTGTTTTTACGAGTCAGAGTCTCACTCTGTCACCCAGGCTGAAGCAAAGTGGCACAAATCATGGCCCACCACTACCTCGAACTCCTGGGCTCAAGAGATCCTCCCTCATCAGCCTCCCAAGTAGTTAGGACTGCAGGCACGTGGCATCACAGTTTCATTTCTTTTTTTCATAGAAACGGGTCTTGTTTTGTTGCCCAGACGGGTTCCTGCCTCTCGTTCTAAGGGAAGATCTTGCTCCATCGCTTCTTGACCTTCTACGGTGGGTTGCATAGTGTCCCTCATGTCGGTCATGTCCACCCAGAACCTCAGAATGATATTTGGAGTAGGGTCTTTACAGACATAATTAGTTAAAGGTCTCCTGATGATGTCATACTGCAGTTAGGGTGAGCCCTGAACCCAATGACTGTGTCCTTACAAGTAGGAGAGAGGACACAGAGAGACAGAGAGAAGAGGCCATGAGAAGGCAGAGGCAGAGATCACAGTGATGCAACCACAAGGCAAGGAAGGCCAAGGAACTCCTGGGACCACCAGGAGGAGGCAAGGGGGTCTCCCCGCCACCTTCAAACCCAGCAGTGCCCTGCCTACACCTCCATCCCAGACTTCAAGGCTCTAGAACCATGAGAGAGTGCATGTCTGTTGCTTTAAAACACCAAGCGCGGCCGGGCTCGGTGGCTCAGCCTGTAATCCCGCGCCTTTGGGAGGCTGAGGTGAGTGGATTGCCTGAGCCCGCGGGTTCGAGACCCGCCTGGGCAGCGAGACCTCATCTCTACAATAAATCAAAAAATCAGCCGGGCGTGGTCGCGCACGCCTGCAATTCCGGCTACTCGGAAGGCTGAGGCGGAAGGATTGCCGGAGCCCAGCAGGCGAGGCTGCAGTGGTCGGGAGCGGCCACTGCACTCCAGCCTGTGTGACAGAGTGAGACTCCAACACACACACAAAAAAGAATTGTTGATCAAGTGTAAATAAGCTAGCAAATATATTTTCCTGTAATGAATAAAAGAAAACAATGTGAAATGCATGATCTAATATAGGAAAAACAATTTATAGCTGGAGAATTAAAGCTTATATGACAAAACTGACATTATTATTATTCTTGCTTTACCAACCTTGTATATTTGGAAAAAATAACTTAAATATTATATTTAATAAAACAATGTTTATATACTTAATATTATATTTTCACTATCAGTTAATGCATTTTCAAATTGTGTGTGTGTGTGTGTGTGTGTGTGTGTGTGTGTGTGTGTACACACACAATATACACTATGTATCACAAAAGCTTTATAAATCACTTGGAATATTTGGACAGATCTGAGAATGATCAAGAATATAAAGTTAATTATGAAATAGACAAACCAAACTGAAGGACAAGTTTGTGGTTAAGTTTTGCACTTAGTTTTGAATTGTAGGAAGAAGACAGGAAATGGCAGAATTGGAAATAATTACTTCTTATGCCTGTGATTATTATTTCATGACAAAATAAAAATAAATAAGTTATAAATTAGAACAATCTCTATAGCTTATTCTAAATGTAGTTGCCTGCCAAGAGTCACTGTGTTAAATGAAATGCTTCTTGAATTAGGACCTACTGTCATCATACTTATTTGCTACTAATCTTAATTTACAGGCGAATTGGCTTAGTACACATAATATATTTTTATAAACATAATTTGCAATAAAAAATTAGAAAACGTACAAGTCAATATAAAACTGTAACTCATCCAATTGTATGGTAGTGTTTAAAGCAGTCAAAGTGAATGAAAGCTAAATTTGCATCTATTTCCAATAACATAAGCTAATAGTACCACTGACCAGTAAAATTGAATTTTTGTTCCAGCCATAAAAAGATGTATCTTATGTTATCAAATTTTATACCTCCACATCTATCAAGGAATGAGAGAACACATATTTTTGAGTTATACTTACCTTCTATAAACTACACAATTTGCAGTTAAATGGTTGTAAATGTACCAAAATATTTTTCACATGTTTAAAAAGAACCCATAGAACAAAAGGCACAACAAACACAAGAATACAATCACATACACACATACACAACCTAGCCTTAACTTCCTCTAAATTTAGAGAATGATGTATGCTTAAAATTTTACTAAGCATTATAAAAAATAGTGTGAACAAATACTATGGTCTCCTAAAGCCACATTATAGCCACACTTACATCCCTTTGCTTTTTCTACTTCCTTCAACTTCTACTACTCATGGGTATGCATATAGGTTAACAGTTATTGAAGGCTGTGATTTTTCAATACGTAAGACTTCATCTAGCACAAAGCCTGATACATAGAGTTAATCAATAATTATTTACAGAATAAATAACCTAAGATGGACTTGGTAGAAGAATGACTCCACTAATGTTGCCATCTTAAATCATTGAAAACTAATTTCATGACTTGTATCTGATAAATTAATTATGCATATAAAGTGTATGTAACCACTTAATTCTACTTACAAAATTTTAAAATTTAATAGAAAATGTGTCATGAAATAGTTGGAAACAAATAGGCATAACAGAAAAATTAAATAAAATATTACACAAAGTTACATGTTTAGGTACATATGAATTATTTCTCTGAACACCCCAAAAAACCCACAAAAACAAAAAAGAAATCAGATTTCAAGAACAGCCGAACACTAACAAAAACATAATTTAACTGGAATTATGTTTCTTTCTTCATCCGTGGGAGCTAGAAAAAGAAAATTATTTTTAGGAAATTGTATCAAAAGTTCTTTTATCCAATAACCAGCTATCAGCTAACTGCAGTAGAAAAAAGTTCAATATACCACCCATCAAACATGAGTTAGCAAAACCAAATCTTGCCAAACCCAGAAAAGTTCAAAGATATAAAACATATTTGAGGAAATTACTTAAGTAGTAGATAAGTTCTGTTTAAATCATATCAGAACAATATAATAATTATGTAATGAATATTTACCATATATATTTTGCTAGAAATTGTGTTACCTTCAACAAATAATGTGTATTGAATTTCTTACAAAAATTATATGATCAAAATACTATTGTTAGCACTATTTCCCAAATTATAATAAAAAACCTTAAGAAATTAAAATCTTTAGGACATGGGAACATATAGGTTTTATAAGATGCAGTCTAGTTTTTGAACCTTATACTCTTCACAAACAAAGAAGACACAGAAGACAGCAAGCAAGATAGTATATTTGAAACTAATTATATCCATGATTATGTTTAAATGGCTTAAATATTTCAGTAAAAAAATTATTGACAGATTAGAAACAAAGCAAGACAAATATTTGTTGTGTACCTGAGAATCATTTAAAATATAAAGACAAATAAAGATAAAAATAAAAGAATGACAAAAGATATACCTTGTCAACATTAATTTTTAAAAAATTAATGTAGTTATATTAATAGGAAACAAAATAGACATCAGAATAAAAGATATATCACATATAAACAAAAGGTGAAATTAGCAAGAAATCATAGTAACTCTAAATATGAGTTATTAATAATATAGTAAAAACAACAAAATTATACCAGAAAAATCCAAAACTATAGTTGCAGATTTTAATTCTTAATATCATAGAAATTAATAGTAATACCAAGCAGAATTTCAGTAATAGTAATTATTATAACTGAGTAACACTGTGCTTCTGCCATAACTGAATAATCACATGGAAAAAGAAGGAAGCTGAGTTACTACCTCATTCCATATATACCATTAATTTTAACGAGATCAACAGCCTAAGCATAATAATACAACTGCAAAAATTATTTTAAGAAAAGAAGCAAAGGTTCATAAACTTGGATTTGTCAAGTAATTATTCGACAAAATCATGAGCAGCAAAAATAAAAACAAAAAATTGAATTTCACTAAAAAAATTTTTTGCCATTAAAGGACATTATCAATGTAGTGAAAAACCTTCAGAATAGGAGAAAATATTTACAGATCATATTTCTGATCACTCTTTCATATTCAAAATAAAGAACCCCCTACAACTCTACAACAGAAAGACTAACATTTGCCTAAATCAAGACAAAGGACTTGAATAGTCTCCTAAAGAAGACATACAAATGAACAACTAACACTTAAAAAGGTGCTCAATATCATTGGTTATTAGAAAAATGTAAATCAAGACCACAATGAAGTTTTGATTTATACCCACCAGGATAGACATAGTAAAAAATAAGATGGTTTTTATTTACACCCACTAGGATAGACATAGTAAAAATTAAGATGAAAAGGACAAGTTTTGGTGACGATGTGGAGAAATGGAAACCCTCATCCACTGCCAATGACCACTGGAGTGGCCACTGTATAACACAACTTGTGATTCCTCAAAAAGTAAAATGAAGAATAATCATATGATTTCACAAAGAATTGAAACTAGGTAATCATATACTAGTTCACAGTGTTAACATCAGTAAAAGTCATGACAGCTAGAAAGTGAAAAAAAACCCATGAATGAATGGATAGATAAACAGAGAGTAATATTTATATATACATATAAATATTATTCAGATATAATGAATGAAGTACTTGTGCATTATAAAACAGGGAGGAATATTTTTAAATACTTGCTAAGCAGAAGAAGCCTGAAACAAAAGTCAAAAATTGAATGTTTTCTTTTATTTGAAATCAGGCAAATCATAGAGACAGAAAGAAGATTCATGGTTGCCAAAAAGTGCAGGGAAGGAAAAATGGAGATTAACATAGTACTTTTACTTAATTGACATTTTTCTGGGATGATAAACAAAAGAAGTTTGAAACCAGAAAAAATGTGATAATTACACAGTTAAATAAATGTACTTAAAATGTATTGACTTAAAATTAAAATCAGGTCATACCACACATGCTTATGAATTTCAAGATATAGTCTTGCAGTAACCTACAACTGCATTTTGGACTTTAGTTCCTGTTATTCACTTTACTACAACCAAAATGTAGTCAAGTTTGACAACAGAGATTTTTGGTAAAGCAACTGGAAGTGTTATGTCAATAATTTAGACTGTGTGACTTCAATGATGTCAGTTTCATGAACTATAAGGAGCTCAGGTTTTCTGTGTTAAATTTAAGAAACTACTAAACTTCTGAAAAGTCACTGAATTTGCAATTGGGTGTATGATTCTGGAGCTAAATGAAGAGATATTTGGGGTCAAATGTGCATAGATGCAATATACATGAATCCCTTAGAATAGATTTCTAACTGAAACATGTATCCTGTCATTATTTTCTAGGCTACCGTAAGAAAGAAGCACAGATTGAAAAGTTTGAACAAAAGAAATTTATTTCTCACATTTCTAGAGGCTAAAATTTCAACAAGAAGGTGTTAGAAGAGTTGATTTCTCCTGAGGCTTCTTTTCTTGGCTTAAAGATGGCTATCTTTTCTCTATGGTTTTCCATTTGTAAATATCTATGTTCAAATTACCTCTCTTTAGAAGGGCATCAGTAATATTAAAATTTGGTCCACCCTAACCATCTCATTTTAAACTTGGTTACCTCTTTAAATACCCTATGGCATAATATTACTTAAAAATAGACGGTAATTAAATAATACAGCCACATTCTGAAGTATTCGAGATTATGATTTCAGCATGTGAGGTTTGTGGGGGACACAATTCATTCCATAGCATGTGCTCATTATTAATCTATATTTCTTGGAGGAGCCAAAACTAAAGTCTCTTTATTAAGGCAATTAGGAATGCACTGTTAAAAAAAAAAGTATGGCATAATACAGCATCTTTAGGAAGGTATATGCTTGCCTACTGTAATGTCCAATAACACTAAGAGATACTGTATGAAACAGGTATCTCTCATATTGAGAATGATGAGATTCTGAAATGTCAAATGTCAAATGGCAACACATACCTATCAAAGGAAAATGAATATAATTTTCATAATGGTCATCAAGGCAGGAGTGGCATTGGTATGCTTTGTCACAAATGTATTTAATAGAGTCCATGGTACTCTAGAAGGTGAGATGGAAGGAGAGGAGAACTGGTGAACAGAAGACTGATTCAAGTTGCCAGGGTGGTCAACTGTTTCACAAGGTTTTTCAATCAAAGTCATTTTTCAATGATTGAAGAAAGACCAGATCTTCTTGAGGAAAAAACTTTGTCAATGTCACCTTATATACCCTTAATTCTTCTCCAAAAGAGGCTTTTGCCATTTACCAGTACACCTGTGGACTTTGTTGACTATTTTTAGACAAAATGTTTGAGCTGACACTGAAATCCAGTTACATAAAATGCTAAAATGATTATCTTGATTGACTAATATATGAACACCAAATAATAAGTGATTTTAACCTAAGCTGGTCTCTGAAGATACCTAATGTGTCCATGGGCACTCTTATGTTTATTTTCCAGTCCCTGAGTATCTATTTGGAAGAGATATACTTAGCATATGAAGAAATCTTCCATTGGTTCCCATATTGAACATTTGTGCTAAAAAGTCATTAAAAAAATCCCAGCACTACCAATCCTCTGGCAAATATAGGAAATTTAAAGCAAAACTACATTCTAGAAAGATTTATAGTGAAATCACTAACATTCGAAATGCTAAAGATGCAGAGGGCCTTGTCTCTACTGTTGTTCCTTTTAATTTACTATCTGAACCTATAAGGAAAGCAAAAGAATGTCGTATTATTAATCATTTGATAGAACAATGGCTTATTGTGCCGGATGTTATATTTTTCATTGGGGCAGATCGATATAGTTTCTCACATTTCATATGCAACTTTTATTTGGTAAGTATTTTTTTTTGTCTTAATACACCTTAGCTAGGTGGATGGAAAGCATTTTATCTGTACAAGGACAATTCAATCGTGCATCTTCAGTCTTTTGCTACAGGTCTGCATTTACTCTTTTGTTCTTGGACATAATACATTCTGAGGGTCCTTAATCATACCGATATTCTGCAGATCTTCATTCTTGTCCCCTGTGTTGATAACATCTTACTATTTTAGGCTAGATGAGTATGAAGTAGCAGAAACCTTAAATTCTCTAGTAAGCAACATATTTTCCAGAGTGTCAGAATGATCTCTAAGAAGTTCAAGAAGATTGACAATTGGTGAAGTTCTTATGAGTACTGTGATTTGGGAGAGTCTAGGATATTCCTTTTAATGTAAAACTCATCCTACTCCCAAGAAATTGATTTATTGCATTAAGAAGTACTTGCTTTATGCATCTCTTTGATTTTAGAGCTAGTATATACTGTACATGAGGCTATTATCCTATTAAACAAGTGACTAGAAACTGTGCTAATTCAATGTAGCCCAGGACAAGAGAGTTCTCTTCAGTAGGAGCAGGCTGAAGAACAAGCTACTCTGCCATTAGGACTATGGACCCAAAGATCCAAAATGATATCGATGAATGTTGTTGATGTGCAAGATAAAATGGTTTGTATTGCATAGCCTATTAGGAGAGTTACTTCTCAGGCTCCTAGGGTACTACAGCAAGGTCATGCCCTCTATGGCAGAAAATACATGTCCATTTAAAAACAGCTCCTGAGGTGACAGTAGGCCTTGGTAGAGAGTATGTGCTTAATCATAGGACACTTATAACTATGTTTTCCATTTTAGAACTAGGTATTATTGAATCTGCTAATTCATGCACTTTGGCAACTAGTGGAAATTCACTATATCATAGATGTCACATATTTGACACTGGCCTCAAGCAGTTGCAGACAAATGAGAATCACACTTGCACGTCTTTTATTTCTTTTGTACCAAGATCTCTTCCTCAGCTCCTATTTATTGGTTTATGGCATATTTCCTGTGACCTATTAAGGGGTAGAAAAATCTTAGAACTTCTTCACATATAGATCATCAGTTTTGACAGTGCAGTTGTATCACATCTGATTCAGGGTAAACCCTGGAGAACTGTGGTGAAAAAAAAATACCCAGTGGGCAGTACTCTTAAGTGATACATTTTACTGTCTCATTCACACTGGAGGAAGCAGTGGGCTATGCACGGTTTAGCACTGATATCTGGGAAGAGAAAAAAATGATGACTTGATCTGTATGACATGGGACATGTAGAGTAAAGCCCCAGAATATTGGGGGAATAAAAAGTCTTAGGAAGAGATGTAGGTTAAAAAAAAAAAAAATCTTGGATGCTTTGAGTATCACATTAATGTCCACCAGAAAGTATCATCAGGGGATGCTATTAGGTGTATAGTGTGACTTATTGTAATGGTAGCTAGCCTCTCTCTTCTGCATCACAGATGTGTCTTCAATAGGCAAATGAAGATATTGACCATAATGCAATTTTTTGTCTTTATGTGGGCTACTCTTCAGTAACCTTATTCACAGTGCTACTATCAATCCAGTCTATCAGCAATGCTATTCCTGAGCCCTAAGCAAGTCATTGTTTCACAGGGAGCCTTCCCAAGCAACACAATCTAAAAGACTACAGAATGACTTATTCAGACCAAGAAACGCATTTTTACCATATCAGATTAGCAATAGTGAGATTGCAATTGTGTAGTTTATTTATCTTATTGCATACCATAATATCATCTACCACATTACCAGGAAGAAGCACACCTATTAAACTAGCGGCCCATTCGAGAAAAGATGCCTTGAAAGATTCAGATGCTGCCATACAAATTGCAATGAATGTTCTACACTCTCATTCAATACATGATGTTGGGTGCCCAAAGCTGTAATGGGGTCCAGAAATCAAAGTGTTGAGGAAAGTGTTGTTCCTTTCATCATTATACCCTGAGACCTACTTGTGGAATTTTTGCTTTCCATCCTAGCAACCAAAAACTATGGCAGATTATACTTATGAGTCCCTTGAGGAGTGCATGACATTTCTGTCTATAGGCAAAGTTAGGACTTCCCTGAAATGGAAGTGAAGCTATGATATAAAACTGACAAATTGGATTCCTTATGCCAGTGTACATATTAGTGTGCTGGCTAGGAAGATTTACTCTGATTTCCACGAAGAACTAGAAATTCTAGTTTTATTAGAGGTATGGATGAATAAATAATAGACAGGGAAAGACTATATATCAAACTGAAGTGATTCACTGTGGTGCATCTTGGTGCTTTTATGCTATCAGTAGTAAATTATAGCATTTATTGCCTAAGAACACTACAGCTTCAATTTCTCAGTCCCTGCAGGCCAGCAAACAATACCATTTGAAATAATACTTAGACTTAAGAAAACTCTAAATTTATGGTAGAGAGATAATGAATATCAGTTTCAAGTATAGAATCCCCTTCAGAAGCTGATTGTAGCTTGGTTTGCTAATCCAAGTAACTATTCCTAAAATATTGCAATTGACCACATAATTGAAGAATTAGATTTCCATTTATTTTGTCATGGGATATGTGAGTGCATGTTATTCTCACAATATTGCAAAAGAAAACTCACCACATCTCAGGTGAACCATAAGGTACCCAAATGAATGCTCAGAAAGCCTTGTGAACATAATCCAAAAGTATAGTAGTTAGCACATCTTAAGTAAACTTTGATCAGAGAAACACCAGAAAGAAAAAGAAAGATAGTAGCTAGAAAATAAATTTCTCTCTCTTTCTCCCATCCCCTTGCATCAAACTGCTCATAGTCGTGGTGGTTTTATATGGACAGAAACATTAATGAATGCCTAAGACTGACTTTGTTTTATGGAAAGGCTATGGCCAGCATGGTAACACAACACCTTCTACTTACTTTACATTTGTTTTCATTCTTTTTGTGAAGAACTTGTTATATCCAATGAAGTACTAGCCAATAAGCTTTATGTAAGGTCTGTGTTTTTGAATTTTCAAGATAAGTTGGTTTAATTGATTATGAAGTCTCCAGGTTCACAAAATAAATACAAATTATCATTACTAAGATTTACCTGTAGAGTCCTCATCATATGCCACACACTTGTCTATACACTTAATTCTTACAAAAAGTTGAACTTAATTCATTAGAATAACATCAATCCACACAATTAGCGTCGTTTGAGTACAGGAGAGTCTGGGTTTCCCTCATGATTTTGTGTTATTCAATAAATTTTACAATGTGACATGCACTGCTCACTAAAATAAATAGTATTGAAACAAGGAAAATAAATAGATTTGGGGGGAGTTTATTGGGCTGTAGATTTAAAGTAATTTTGAATTTTAGAGGCAACAATATATACCTTTAAATAGTTTATGCATTTTTTGAACTCTACCAAAAAAGCTGCCCTAACCTAATGTTTCCTGAAGTTAGATAAGACTCTTTAATTTTAATTGCCACCAAAATAAGCCTTTCCGTGTGAGTTAGTTCATTCAGACTTCTGTAACAAAGTAGCATACTATCCTCTAAACAACAGAAATTTTTTTTCATATAATTCTGGAGGCTGAGAAGTCCAAGATCAAGACATCAACAGGTTTAGTGTCTGGTGAAGTCTGGCTTCCTAGATCGTAGATGACTGTCTTTCCTCTATGTCTTCACATGATGAAAGGAGCAATGGATATCTCTGGGATTTCATTTAAGTGCATTCATCCCATTATAAAGGTGAGCACAAATGCACATATAATGTTTGATACATATATATATATATAAATGAGTATTCTGAAATATCTGTGGCAGGGTGAAATAATGTTAGGTAATTTTACCTTACCTTGGAAAGAAAATCACAGAGGCAGACTCTTAGTTTTGATGAAACTTTTACTCTATTCATCAAGTACCTACTCTTGAGAAATAATGACTCAGATGGGTCTTAGACCCTGTAATATTAAATGTCTCAATTAGTCAATCATAAAACATTTGTCTTTCACTAAGAACTTGATGTTACTTGATCTACAAAATGGAAAGGCAACAATAATAAGAAGTAGGCCATTATGAGACAGTAGCTTCAAGTAGAAATGTCAATTGTATACACAGAAACGGGGTAACATAAAATAAATTCTGAGGGACTTAATATCTTGTATGAGAAGATATGTCTACCTCCATGTTTCCAAACCTGTTGCACTATTTCCCATCAACCAGACCTAGACCTGCATTGGGCACACATATGACCAATTAAGGTAGAAAAACAATATATTAAGGATAGCAAAAACTGATGGCAAATTGTCTTATATACCCAGATCTAAAATATTAAAACTATCACTAATACTTTAATCTGGACATATATGAATAAGATAGACTTTAATAATGAAGTGTAATTATTCAAGTAAAGCAACATGCTTTAATGTTTAAATATAATTCATGAACTAACAGAACAAAAATAATATTTAAACATTGTATATACATATACGCTATATATAGTTATATTCAATATATGTTTATGTTGCATATTATATATATGAAAAATTTATGCCAAAACTAAGAAAAAATGCAATTACTAATAGAAAAAGGGGAAAAACACTTAAGAGGGAAGTACCCACAAAGAGATTTGAAAATGACCAGTATATGAACAGATTATCATCTTCACTAGTAAAAGGGAAAATGTAAAATTCAAATAAAAAGAGATTTTACTTTATATGCAGTAGTATAAATAAAATTTAAAAACAAAAAGGCCATTTCAAGTGTTGATACTCATCTGTCTAAGACCATCAAGTCAACTTCATCATTGAATAAAATTTGATTTGTTGGCTCATTGTATAAATAATTGATCCATTCACTCATTGGAACATATATCATCATGAATTATAGGACTTCTCAGTAAAACGTGATTTTTCAGGAAAACTCAAGGAAGAGATATTTTGCTCTGAAATTACTACTTCAAGCATTTTGCTCCAGATTGGGCACCTTTAAGTAGTGGAGCTAATTTTTTTTTTTTTTTTTTTGAGTTAGAGTCTCACTCGGTCGCCCTGACTGGAGTGCAGTGGCCGCTTCTGGCCACCGCAGCCTCGACCTGCTGGGCTCCGGCAATCCTTCCGCCTCAGCCTTCCAAGAAACCGGAATTACAGGCATACGCTACCATGCCCAGCTGATTTTTTTGATTTATTGTAGAGATGAGGTCTCACTGCCCAGGCGGGTCTCGAACCCGCGGGCTCAGGCAATCCACTCACCTCAGTCTCCCAAAGGCACGGGATTACAGGCTGAGCCACCGAGCCCAGCTAGTGGAGCTAATTTAACGGTTTAGTTCTTGCATGAATATTATATAAAGAGGCAGAAAAAAAAGAAATGACACTAAACATAAAATTGATAAAGAAACAGCAGTCACCCAGATTAGTTGGGAAGATAGTTGGTTTAAAATAGACGTGGTTTACACAGTAGCCTTGTTTTTTTATTCTGTTGAGATAAAGAGTTACCTTATTTGATCTTGGTGATCTATGAAACCGTTTATGTTTAAAATGTGAACAAACTTGACTCTAAGTGCCAGGCCAACTCTGACCAACGGCAAGTTATCAGCACCTAGCCAGCTCCCAGTTATGTTTTCTTTACAACAATATCTTATAGCAATGGGTTAACTAATGGGACAGTTATTCACTCTCAGCGTGATTCATGCTTGAGTCAGTTGCAAATAGAGGGGCATTGTAAGGCTGTGAAAATTCCTAGACATATATACATACAGGATTTGAATGTTTATAGCCCAGTAAGAATCCACGTTCACACCACCAATTTACTTAGTAGACATTAACTGCCCACATAATCTAGGGAATTCACTTGACTTCTATGAGTAGCGGTTTCTCTCTAAGAAAATTGGAATTCAATATGTAATAAACCCACAGCCTGTTGTGATAAACAAACAAACCCAGATATGTAAAAGAACTTAATTGAGTGACTAGCATACAATAATGTCCCAAAATATTAAATGTTTAGGTCTATGAATTTACTCAAGGTTCAATTGAATTAGGATGGCTAGATTTAGGAAATAATAATACAGAATGCCCAATTAAATTTCAGATGGAATTTTTAGCATCACATGGCATTTGCAATGTTTGGAACATAAACTAAAAAAAGATTAATTGCTTGTCAAAATTCAAACTTAATTCAGTATTCTGTATTTTACTTGTCAATGTGGATATTTTTACATTGTCCTTGGTGTATATTAATTTGTCAGAATGATCTTGGGAGAAAACAATCCTTAGTTAAAACATATTAACATCATGAACACATACCTAATTGAATATTTGGGAAATATATGTATGTTTTATTTGCATATAGATCGTGAAACTCCTCTACTTTTATCACAAAATTTAAATAATAGAGTTCTTAATTTATAATACTTGGCTTAAATCTTCAACGTAATACCTATATAATTGTTATATACTTACTTTGCCTTATTAGGGTGATTAATACAATGGTGATAGTAATGGTCTATCTTTCGCAGCATTGCTAAAGATTACATAAGTAATGGAGGTAAGTTTGTTAGGTTATATATGGCCCTATTTGGGGCCATATATTACCTTTCAATTACTGTTAACTCCCATATTAGAGGTTTTAAAACATTTATAGCTTTCGGTTTTTGGCTCGGTGGAGGCTCAGGTGCAACTTTCTTCGGTGGTCCCGAATCCAGGTTCATCCGACACCAGCTGCCTCCACGATGCCGCCCAAGTTCGACCCCAATGAGATCAAAGTTGTTGCCCCCAAGATCGGCCTGGCCCCCCCAAGATCGGCCTGGCCCCCCCAAGATCGGCCTAGCCCCCCCCAAGATCGGCCCCCTGGGTCTGTCTCCAAAAAAGATTGGTGATGACATCGCCAAAACAACCGGTGACTGGAAAGGTCTTAGGATTACAGTAAAACTGACCATTCAGAACAGACAGGCCCAGATTGAGGTGGTACCTTCTGCCTCTGCCCTGATCATCAAAGCCCTCAAGGAACCACCGAGAGACAGAAAGAAACAGAAGAACATTAAACACAGTGGGAACATCACTTTTGATGAGATTGTCAACATTGCCCGACAAATGTGACACCGGTCTCTAGCTAGAGAACTCTCTGGAACCATTAAAGAGATCCTGGGGACTGCTCAGTCTGTGGGCTGCAATGTTGATGGCCGCCACCCCCATGACATCATAGATGACATCAATAGTGGTGCGGTGGAATGCCCCGCTAGTTAAGAAGCAAAAAGGAAATATATTTCAATAAAAGGCCATTTGACAACTAAAAAAACCGAAACAAAACATTTATAATGTTATTCCGAATCCTAGGCATCTAATTTTCTTTGTTTCTTTCTTTCTTTTTTTTTTGTCTTCACTAATTTCCATTAGTTTATAAAAACTAATTTCAAGTTGTATCTGGAAAACAGGGGTAAGGGTAGGTTTAATCTTGCTGTACAAGTGAAGACACTGTCTTCCAATTCATAACATAGTCTCTTTTATGTGGTTTAACAGTTGCTTCAAAAATTCAGTATATTTAAAGTTAATCTTCTTTACAATCTCTTTCATTCCTTTCTTCCTTCCCAAGGGGATATATAAGTAAAAGGAAAATTAGGTAATACCGTTTGTTTTCTTTGTTAATTTTACCAGGAAAAGACTTCATCAAATTTGTCTTTGAGTGTTTTCCTCTGCACAGTAGTATCATCTGTTGATTTGACCATTCCCATATCCTTCTGGTGTAAGCTGACATTTACTGCTTGTTTTCATGGGTTCAGAAAATATAATGTACAAATCTTTTGTTCTATGTTTTTTCCTTCCCTAGAACTGTTGACATTCACCAGCTATCACTGCTTCTTTAGCCTCTGCTTAACAAGAGCAAAGCAAGGCTATGAAAGTAATAATCGAGGGCTAAATGCTACCTAAGTACACCTTTATACTTTTATTATCAACAATTTCAGCCCGATATGATATATGACAATATTAGAAGTGTTTTAGCTCTAAATTTCCAGGTAAACAGGAAGTCATTTGTTCTCTTATTTGACTCTTCAAACCTATTAGAAAGACTCTCCTCTATCATTCGAGTTTCAAATATTTGGTTTCAACACATAAAGAATAAGAACCAAAATTTTATTACGTTACTAATTTACGATTTTCTTTAACACCTTTTCTTAATATCCCAGAGTCAAAGCAATTAATGTTTGAAGCATACTATCATTTTGCCAAATCCTGTGTTCTTCCTACCAACTATAGTAAATATTTTAAGTAAAAAACAAACAAACAAACAAAAAAACTCAGCCAGGCGTGGTGTCTCAGCCTATAATCCCAGCACTTTGAGAGGCCTAGGCAAGATGATTACCTGAGCCCAGGGCTTCGAGACCAGCCTGGGCAACTTGTGAGACCTTGTCTCTACAATAAAAATCACAAAAACTAGTTGGACGTGGTGGCATGTGTCTGTAGTTCCAGCTACTTGGAAGGCTGAGGTGGAAGGATCGCCTAAGTCCAGCAGATCAAGACTGCTGTGGCCTTGAAAGTACCACTGTACTCCAGCCTAGGTGACAATAGTGAAACTCCAACTCAAAAAAAAGAAAAAAAAATCTAAAAATATTCCAAATTATTTCTCTTTATTCACACAGATAATTTTAAGTTTAACAATATGGTAAATCCTTAACTAGTGATTAGAAGCACAAAAACAATAACACAATATTATGCTACCAAAGACTTCAAAGTCTGGTATGACAAAATAATTACTCTTTAGTTCATACTACTTAAAAATAAAATAGAATTTTTGGATTCAGAGATAAGACCACTAAATTATCTTAAGTGACTGAAATACATTCCATATCATTTCTCTTAAAATAAAATGATACATAAAAATGTCAGTTTTAAAATCTCAGCTTTGTGTTCATTCAAAATAAAATCACAAACATTTTTGTCATGAATGTTAAACAGAGATTTCAAGAATAAGTAAATGTTTTCAAATATATTCAGTTATTTCCAAATTAAAAAAACACATTTATTTTTATCAGTATGATTATTTAAAATAATATAATTTTTCATTTTAGCTCATTTGTTTAATTTAATTTTCCACTATATAAGTCAATCCTGTTTAAATTTTCTGTTCTACTTTTAACATCACACAATCCAATATTTATATCACACAAAATATAGGCAGAACTTTGAATTTTATCTTCCAAACTTGATACGTTATATAAGTTTGAGAAATAGTGTGTGTACCAATTGGAGGAGCAGGAAATAAACATTATCTTCACTAGGAAGTCTTTCTTTTTGAGTTGGAGTCTCACTCTATTGCCCAGACTGGAGTGCAGTGCATGATCATGGCCACCGCAGCCTCGACCTGCTGGGCTCAGGCCATCCTTCCACCTCAACCTTCTAAGTAGCTGGAACTACAGACGCACGCCATCAAGTCTGGCTAATTATGGTGATTTATTGTAGAGACAAGGTCTCACCAAGTTGTCCAGGCTGGTCCCGAACCCCCGGGCTCAGGCAATCCTCTCTCCTCGGCCTCCCAAAGTGCTGGGATTACAGGGTGAGCCACCGCGTCTGGCCCACCAGGCAGTCTTGTTTGACTTTCTACCAGGTTTCTTATGGTTTGTCATATTTTATTAGTCTCAGCTATCCAATTATACTTTCTCTTCTCTATCATTATTATCATTTATGGCTTTGCTTGCTGGGGTGTTAACTTCACCAGTTGCTGTATTTGTGAGCATTCATTTAGAGTAACTTATTTTTTCTTCTTCAAGTCTTTATTATTAAATTTAAAAGACCACACCAATTTAACAGATAAATCATTAATACAATTTTTACTGTCCAGAACACTTTTACATTGTAGTCTAAAATTCAGTATGGAGCAGTTCTATTAATTAACTCTAATTTGGAGCTCAGTATAAAATTATGATTTTCTTTTTCACATTATAATTTGACCAAAAGATAGTTATATATGTAAACTCTTTGACATCCCTCATTTTTGTATTTTATACATTTTAAAAGTTTAATAACATTTTATTATTAATTCTGAATGAAATATTTTATACATAATTTCTTCTATGGTATGATAAACAGGGTCTTACAATATAAATTTTGAATATTTAGAACTATCTCCAGTGACTTCCAGTAGCAATACTTTTTATTTATGCAGAAAAATTCTTACCAATCACTTGCAATTTATGTCTATATTCTGTTGGCCCCAGGTTATGTTTGGGATAGTTTGGCACTGATTCTTACTCTAAGTTATCTGGGAATTTTTTTTTAAGGTGTTCATTCTAATTAATACAATCCACATGTTCTCACTCATAAGTGAACTTTGAACAATTATAATACTATAAGGAAAGGATTTGCAGTAGTGGGAAACTGCAGGAGGTGGGATGGGATTGCCAGTAGTGGGAATTTGCCAGGTGGAGGGGGCACACCTAATCGCCAAGGGTACCTGCATAATGAACATTTGTATACCTAATCCTGAATTTTACTCAACATCTTTAAAATTAAAAAAAATTCCACTAGGTAAAATTGCATAAGTAAAATTATAGGAATTTTAGAACAAGAGTAAGATATAACTCCTTATAAGCACATATATTGATTCTTTTGATAGTAGTATATATTTGAATAGATAAAATTTGAATCCCTACCATTCAGTCTGGTAGTTAAAACTAGATATTTCTCATATTAAAAAATAACACATGCGTTTTTCTTCTGCAAACATATATGTTCTAAGCACTTGAAAATAAAATGTCTAGGAAACATTAGAATTGTTTTATTGTTTCCAACACATTCAGAATACAACCTTACCTTTATGGAGATAATGTCTTAATACAATGTGTAGAATTTGTGACCATGCTAGTAATGTTGAAGGTATTTTGATTAAGGCATCTTTCTATACACTTTCGTAGGAATGTGTACTTTGATCAAGAACACACATGGGAGAAGGGGCAAAACATGTATACATGTTTTAAGATATATTATCTACGTATTACTTTTAGTTTGCTGTTAATCAGAAGTGTCTGGAAGCTTATGGAAACCACTTTGAGCATCTCTTGTAATTGCAGAAGTCAAATGTGACATATTCATCTTTTGTTATCAGTATGTATTGAGTATTACAATTTTAATACAGTTTTTTTCTTTCTTAAATTGTGTATACTTTTTTTGGCATCCACCGTATTTGTACAAAGTCACAAGATACTAATATCTTTATGGAGCAAAATAAGCTAATCTGAACAGAGATACTGGATTTTGATTCATTATCAGCATTTCCTTCCTATTCGACTACCAAACTACAGGCCAGAAATAATCAATCTTTTTTCTCTTGCAACCCCTGAATGGTTTTTGAGGAATTAAAACAAAACAAAAACAAAGACTTTGCCTATTTTTGACATAGTCCAGTGTAAGTTTAAATAGTTGAAAAAAATATGATTTTCAGCACATTTGGAATTTTAATATCAAATGGCAATGGTACTTAAATGTGTATATATAATTTATTTCAGCAACTTTTTTAGGTTTCATTGTACAAGTTCTTCAACTTCTTGATTAATTCCTAAGCATTTTCTTTTTAAAGCTATTCTAAATAAAATTGTTTTTATAATTTGCTTTTCAGATTATTTATTATTAATGTATAGATATGCACATGCTTTTTGTGTGTTAAGTTTGCATCCTGCCTTTTCGGTAAATTTGTTTATTAATTCTGTGTGTGTGTATGTTTGTGTGTGTGTGTGCGTGTGTGTGTGTGTGTGTGTGTGTGTGTGTGTGTGTGTGTGTCTGTGTATAACATTTAGGGTTTTCTTCATGTAAGATTATATCATTTGTAGAGACAGATAATTTACTTTCTCCTTTCAAATTTAGATGCTTTTTTGTTTTTCTTGTTCTTGGCTAATTGATTAGGCTATGTTGAATGAAAGTGATTTTAAAAATGGGCATACTTGGCTTGTTTCAGAACTTAGAGTATAATCACTCAATCTTTCTTCATTGAGAATGATATTCATGTAGGTTTTTCATACATGACTGTATTTATGTTGAGGTAGTTTCCTTCTATTACTAGCTTTGTTGAATTTTTTTTTAATGAAAAGAAGTTGAGTTTTGTCACATACTTTCTTCTGTATCAATTGAGGTAAACATTTTTTCCTTCCTTGTGTTAATGTGGTGTATTACATAGATCAATTTCTATATGTTGACTCATTCTTGCATTACAGTAATAAATCCCACTTGATTATAGTGTGTAATACATTTAATATGCTGCTTAATTTAGTTTGCTGGTATTTTGTTGAGGATTTTACATCAAT